ATTTTGGTTCAATATTATTTAGTAAAAAAAAAAAGTGTATATATATATATATTAGGGTGGTCCATAAAACAACTTTTTTGAGAAAAACCTGCTGACACCCCCTAAATGTGTTTTATCTAATGCAAAAACACTAGGTTTAAAATTTTTTTGAACAAAAATTATTTTTAGGGGTAGCTCAAGGCCCTCAAAAATTTGACGGGTCCCTAATATTTTGAAAAAAAAACTTTTTCTAAAGTATGTCAACCTGGTACTCAAAATAAGCAAAATTATATAAAAAATTTAAAAATGATAATAATTTTTTATAAAAATAATTTTTTTAGGTATAAATGCATAAAAACTATTGTTTTTAAGCTGAAAATAAAAAAAGTCAATATTTTCAGGTTTTTTGAGAATAATTTTTTTTAGGCATGTTTTTTATGTAAAATGATTATTATTTTTGAAGTTTTTATACAATATCGCTTCTTTTGAGTACCAGGTTGACATACTTTAGAAAAAGTTTTTTTTTCAAAATATTAGGGACCCGTCAAATTTTTGAGGGCCTTGAGCTACCCCTAAAAATAATTGTTGTTCAAAAAAATTTTAAACCTAGTGTTTTTGCATTAGATAAAACACATTTAGGGGGTGTCAGCAGGTTTTTCTCAAAAAAGTTGTTTTATGGACCACCCTAATATATATATATATATATATATATATATATATATATATATATATATATATATATATATATATATATATATATATATATATATATATTTTAATTATTTCTGAAATTTGTTTTTAAATAATTATTGTTTATAAATTGTTATTGAATAAAAAATAATAATGATTTAATTTATTTTTAAAATTTTTTTAAGTAAACAAAAAATATTAACATTGATAAACATAAACCCATGTTAATTATTTAAACAGCGATTTTGTTTTGACTAGCAAAGAATAATTTAAGTTTTTTAATATTTTTTAAATTTATCTTGCTTGGCGTTTCAACTTGCGTTATATAAAAATATAAGTTTTTGAGCATATTTTTGATACATAGTTTAAAATGCGTTCGCCAGGAATTTAATTCATAAATTTTAAATATTATTGTAAAAATGTTTTACATTTTAAACAAATCACAAAGCAACAGAGCTATAGAGAAAAATCGTTTTTAACAATTAAATCTTTTTTTTTTTTAACTTTAGTAAATTAAAAAAAAAATTAAATTAAATATAAAAGTCTTAATTATGCAAACTCTTTTGTTAATTATTCTTAAAACAAAAAACAAATACATCTACGCAAAACTTTAATTGTGCAAACTTAAAAAAATACTTAACATAATTAAAAAAATACTCAAAATAATTTAAGTATATTTCATAATTTGAATCGTATCTGTTTATAATAAACGTTCGTAAAAATTAGTTTATTAAAAATTAAGTTCCTTAACTTATAAACAAACTCAAAAGTATTTTCATTATACGTATAATTACAAAACTCTTTTTTTTTTCGTTTGTAAGCAATTTAACTTAATAAAATAAAAAAAGAATAAATATGAGGTTAAAAACAAATTTAATTTATTTATTGAACTATATATATATTTTTTTATTTATATAGCAACTTAATTAAAATATAGTAACATTTTAAAATATTTTAACATGACTTGTGTTATTTATAAACCGTAGGGCAGCTGCCCTTACGGCACCAATGTTTTTAACTTACATTTGATTTTAATAACGTAAGTCCTTTTCTGTGATCATCTCATCGGCAAAGCATCAGCAAAGTCCCAAGATTTAAAAGTTTATAAAGTAAATCTTTTGTCTTTTAAAATACAATCTATATTCGAACTTTAAACAATTTAGAGAGAATAGAAATATATGATGTTTTTATATACTAGTTTGTCTTGTTTTATAAAGAAAAATACTTTTTCATTAGTAAAAAATAGAGACTGTCATTAAACTAAAACGTGCCTTAGTATTTATTTAATGGAATCTGTAATGTGCGTGTACATACTGAAACCTCAGTTATATAAATATATTCAACGTAATATTACTGTCATCAGCGGATGTTGTAGTCTACTCGTGATTTCTTCACCTTATAATATAACTTGATTTTTGAAAACAACTTATTGAATTTGGTAATTCAAAAATATTAAGACATTTTTTGAGATATTAAAAAAAAATGTGAATCCTTAATTACAAAATTTTTTGCAAATGTTTTTTATTATAAATTGAGTAAAAAACTCTTAAAAAATCTATATTACAAAAAACATTTATATTCTGTATTAATAAATATGGAATATAGATTTTTTACAGTTTTTTACTAAAATCTTTAAAAAATTAATACTTTCTATTAAAAACATTGCATAAAATTTGTAGTTAAGGATTGACGAACAATTTTTCATGTTGTTAAATATTTGGATAAAAAGTTTAGCGTAAAATTAATTGTTATAAAAAGGTAAGATATATCGCGATGAAAAGTTACAACAATTATTTTTAACGCAAATTCTTTTTTGTAATAAATATCTTTACATATCGTTATTTAAAAGTTAATGTGGTTTATAAAAAAATTAAATACTTTATTTATGTTACCACTAATTTAAAAGCTAAAAAATGATAAAAAGTAGCTTAACCAAAACAGCTCTACGCGTACGTAAAAATTGCTTAAGGCGTACGTAAATCGCTCTAGGCATAACGCTTTAAAACAAGGCCTGTAGTTAATTCATTGGTGGTGATTTTCAATTCGTCGACTGAAGTATGGGTAACTTTTTTGTTCATTACTGTAGACAATAAAAGTTTACCAGCAGACAATTCAACAGACACAGATGCAACCTCCTGCAATGTTTTCTTTGCTGGAATGTTTGTCCTATAGCTCAGATTTTTTGCTTTTCGGTTTGCTACGACCATTTTTAACTTGTTTAATTTTGTTTAACATGATGATGGTTCCGATTTTAATTCGTTCCATAAAGTCCAGATATGCAAGAACATAAGTATTCACTAGATCTTGGTAAAGATCTGGCATATTATTAAATTTATTTTTCTTGAACATATCTATGGACATAAAATCATTAAAAATTGTTAATTTTTGGCAAGAAATGCAAAAATGAATTATATAATGTTATCTATCTTTACAAACTCGAACCACAGTTTCTACCAAACTACAAACCTCAAAAATTAACATTATAAACACATTAACAATAACATATTCAACCATATTTATATAACATAAACACATAAACATGTTTTTTTATTATTAAAAACTAGTTTATAATATAATAATACTAAAAGCCATAAAATTTAGAAAACTATTACAGAGTTACTTTTTGGCAAGATAATTATTTTATTAAGAATTCAATAAATATTTCCGAATTTTTCACCTACGTATCATTTCAGTATAACATGAAGTTAAAACGAACTATCTACAAAAGAGAACAGTGTAAATGAGCATTTAATTTTCGGATGCAATCGAATGGAATTTCATTTGATTTTTTTTTCTTTCTTTTGAGATTCTGAAGGCTAAGAAGAAACCTTTATCTATATGAAACCTTTATCTATACGATAAATGATCATGATGTTTGAAGTTTAATATTATTATGCAGATATACAACAAAACATATTTATTATATTTTACTATGAATAAAAAAATTTATTATATTTTACTATAAATAATAAAATTTACTATATTTTACTATCAATAAGTTATTCAAGAATAATTATAGTAAAAAAATGTCATTCTATTATCGAAAGTGCAACAATGAATTGTTTTGTGACATCAAGTGGCTCGTGATTGTTGCAGTCACTGACTGCAGTCAGTATTCTTTTGGTCTAGGTGGACTATTATAAAATGCAAATAGCGTGACGAGACTTTTGTCTCAACTCACCCACCCACCCACATCATGTTTTGTCACTCTTTCACAGAACCCACTCACCCACTCTCCAGCGTGATGTAACTATGCAATTGCCACTGATAGGTAGTGGTAGCCATATTTAGAGCAAATAGGAATCAGTCAGGGTTTTAGTAATTGGTGTATTTTAATTTAATGATGTGTAAGTCATTTTTATGAAAATGTTGAATTTTTTTGCCGCAACACTGCATGAAGTAAGTAATGGAGCACTATATATATCCATGATTAATGACTTTCTTGGCTCTTGCCCATAAAGTCATTAATCATGCATTATCATAGGTATTTTATTTGAATTCAATGTAGAATGTAAGCCACAGACAGATTAACCACATGGTATTAATCTGAAAGAATAATTGTGTCATATCATTAAATACCATTTAATGATATTTGAAGTGAAAGACAAAGAAAACTTATAGGAGTTATTGCTTATGAAGAGATGTTAAGTGCAGAATTGTTAGATAAAGATGATGTTAACTTGTCTTGGGAATCAGTTCCAGGAGAAATCGATAAATCAACCACTATACCCATCATAACAATTAAGAAACATTTGGCTTCCCCATGAGATGATGATAGAATCTAGAATATAAATTATTGATTTTTCATGAATTCAAAGTTTATAGTTCTCAAATAAATAAAAAAATTAAAAATGTAATCAAATTTAAAACTTTGGACATAATGGATGTCCCCTTAGCAGTAACTTGTCATGATCAACAAAAATAAATGCTTTTGCAAAATCAAAAAATATTGCTAAAATTTATTTGTTATTATTTTTGCATGACGCGAGTTCTCTATAACTTGAATATCTATATTTATTTGGTTGTAGCAATTTGGTTGTTTTTTTATAAGGCTCTGAATAAGAGGTGATACCCAAGGCTTAGGTTGACAAACATTATTTTTTACTAAATTTTATTTGCCTTTTGTGAAAATGAGTTGTCCCATACTGCCATCCGACCATAATGTTACACCCCTGATATATATAATTTTATAATATTATTAGTACTCATTCAATACGAAAATACTTTTAAAATAAAAAAATAAATTTTTTTATTTCTGAATAAAATTTCAAAAGAAAATATAATAGTAAAATAATAAAACATTAATATAAATAATAACCAATAATTTTTAGTGATTTCCTACCTCGTGGATCAGGAATTGTTACAAGAAGACCTTTAGTTTTGCAATTAAGTTATGGTAACACAGGTATGTACTTAAATATTCTAGAATATTATTTTTAATTACTTCCTAAAACTTAAATATTTAAAGTAAAAAAAGTTATTTAAAAAAAAAAAGGGACAAAGCATCATAATAAAATCATTTAAATGTTCTGCAACTATTAAAGTAGTTCACAATGAAGTAATTCGTGAAGTTTAGTGAAGTAATTTGTTTACGATTGAGACACATGGGTGAGTTTTAATGTGCTTTTTGTTTTTGTTTATTTTCTCAGAATATGCTGAGTTTTTACATTGCAAAAATCAAAAGTTCACAGACTTTGATGCTGTGAGAAAAGAAATTGAAGTTGAAACAGACCGTATAACAGGAAAAACAAAAAATGTTTCACCAGTTCCAATCAATCTCAGGATATTTTCACCTCATGGTAATGTTTTAATATAGATAAGTTTGTTTTTGAATATGTGTATTTAATTATGTTTAAACTTTTTTTTTTTAATGTCAAGTGACAAGTTTCGATAAGGTTAATTTTTTTTATGATTTAAAACAGTTTATTTCAATGGATGGCATTGTAATAAATTGTTTTATAATATGGTGTTAAGCTAAAATATTCAGTTCTTTTTTTTTTCTTTTTCAATACTATTTTTACAGTTTATTGCTTAGTTTTTGCTTTTAAGTTGCTTTGAATCAATAAAACAAACATGTACATAAACACGAATAAACGTACCGAAAAGTTATGTTTTCATGAAAAACAGCAATAAAACGTAACATTTCATGTTACGTTTTATTGCTGTTTTTCATGTAAACTTTTTTTTAACTGTAATATTGTTTTATTTAATTTTAGTTTTGGACTTAACATTAATTGATTTACCGGGTTTAACAAAAATTGCAGTTGCTGGCCAACCTGCAGATATTGAAAATCAAATACGCGATATGGTTTACCAGTTTATAAGCAAAGAAAATTGCTTAATATTGGCTGTTTCACCAGCAAATTCAGATCTTGCAAATTCAGATGCTTTAAAAATGGCAAAGGAAGTTGATCCATCAGGTATATGGAAAGGTTTTTATATGTTAATCCCAAAAATTTATTTAAAAATTTAATTTTTTAATAAGTTAAATTATGTTAGTGATATTAGTATGTTTTAATCAATAATTTTTTTAAAAAGGGGAAAGAACAATTGGTGTTCTCACAAAGTTGGATCTAATGGATGAAGGAACAGATGCTAGAGATATTCTGGAGAACAAAGTTTACCCATTGCGTCGTGGTTAGTTTATCAAGCATCAAGAAAAGATGTTGTTGATTAATTACAATTACAAATACAATTTTTTGAATTTTTTTTCTGTAGGTTACATTGGTATAGTTAACAGAAGTCAAAAGGATATTGATGGTAAAAAAGATATAAAAGCTGCCCAAGCTGCTGAGCGAAAGTTTTTCTTATCTCACCCAGCTTACAGGTTATAAAAAGCTAAACATATTTTATTTGTTAATATATTTTTTGTTAATATTTATGATGATGATAATGATGAAGATAATGATGATTGTGATTATTAATGATGATTAATTGCTCTATAATATTAAACTTTATATTATATTTTCTGACTTGTTATAAAGTAATTAAATAAATAGTATATAAATACAATAATGGTGTATTATGCAATAGTGCAAAATATAGTGCTTTCTGAGTAAGAAACATAAAGTTGAAATTTTGTCAGATTTAAGGTAAAATAGAAGAGAATATAGGATTTAACAATTTATCTCAACAACTAATAAAACATCACTTTAATGTGATAACTGTTGAATCACTGCAATGTATCACTGCTGGATCACTGCAATGTGATCACTGCTGGATCACTGCGATGTGATCATTGCTGGATCACTGCAATGTGATCATTGCTGGATTATTGCATTGTAATCACTACTGGGTTATTGCAATTTGATCACTACTTGATTACTGCATTGTTATCACTGCTGGATAACTGTGATCACTGCTGTATAAAAATATACTGCAGTAGCCCAGTTTAGCAACATTAAAAATAACAAGTTAGTCAGAAAGTTTTATGACAAAAGTAAAATATGTATTTCACTTTTACAAAAACATACACATAATCAAAAATTAAAAACAAACAAATAATGTATATTAGGGTGGTTCAGATTAAGGTGAAAATATTTTTCAAACTAGATAGCTTATAAGGTGTGCAGACCCTTGTTTTATATATAAGATTTTTTTTTTTTAATTAAAAGTTTAATGGTGGCACACTAAGTACTTTTTTTTGAAATCTTTTTTTGACATTTTTCGACCCCATGTGTTCCACCCTTGAATATTATGGATTTTTTTTCTGTATTCATTCTCACAATGAATAATATCTAAAAAAAAAAAAAAATTTGGCACTCTTTTTATATATATATATATATATATATATATTTTCTTTAATTAATTGTTGTTAAAAGACTAAATACTGAATTTTTTTAATTTAATAAAGTTTTTCTTTATTTCTTTACACAAACACAAATTATTTCTATACACTGTTTCTATGACAGCAGTGTGATTTCATCGTACTTGCTCAATTTTCAACATCTGCTATTTTAATAATGTTGAACAAAACTTTAACATGTGTAAAATGTTGATTTTGTAACTTTAAATTTGCAGTGTTTAATATATTATGGTTCTTGCATAATATTCAATGAAAACTGTTTTTAGAAATTAAAAATATATCCAAATTTATGTTATTATAGTTCATTTACATGAAATAAAAAGTAAAATAAAAAGTTATGCCAAAGATTCACGGAAAAAAAAGAGATCAAGGAAAAGAAATATTCTTAGTTAAAAAAACTAGAAAGACGCTATCATCTATTCAGTTTCCATCTGTTGAAGAAATAATTCAGTATTATCTTCATCTATGAGAGTCCAAACCATGTTTCTCTCAAAAACTTAGTTTGTTGTCCAAACAAAGGCTCTACAATTTCATTAAATTGTCCAGAAGTGGGAGAGAACTACTGCATTATATCTAAGCTGAAGGATCCCTAGGAACTTGGAGGATACAGAATTCGTAGCTTACAATGAGTTTTACGGTTATTATCATTTATTATGTCTTAAATAAATTACATAGTTATCTAATTAATATTAATTTTAGGAAAGAAGCTGAGGCTCTAATATTGAAATATAAAAAGCTGCAATCCCTTAAAAACAGATTGACAATCAAGGATAGAGAAACCTTTTTAATAGAATCTAAAAGGAGCAATCAAGGATAGAGAAACCTTTTTAATAGAGAAAAGGAGCAATCAAGGATAGAGAAACCTTTTTAATAGAATCTAAAAAGGTATTTTGGTTGGGACATGACATAAAAATTATGATAGATGAAATAACAATGAATAGAAAAAGAACAAAAGAAACTAAATGTATGACCATTATGTTTTTGAAAATGCAAGGAAAAAAGGCAATGTTGTCAAGGCTGTTCTAATATTACCTTTAAAAAGATTGCTGAGAGATCTGAAAAAAAAAAATCTAAAAGAGAATCTTCAGGATATTAGAGCTAAATGATAATACCTACAAAAAAGAACAAAGTATAATACTGCCTAAAGATATTCTAAATTCTTACAGTGATAACTGTTGTTGGAGAAGGGCTTTCTATCAACCAGCACACTGCAATCATAAGCAGTGTTATAGCAATCTAAGGAGGAGAAATAAATGAATTTGTTTTAGTTAAATCATTATCTCTTCAAGCTATAAATAAAGTGATAAGTTCAGAAGCTCAAAAAATTAGACAGTATATTAAAAACTTGACAAATCCCATATGTAAGCTGATTTCTGTTCATTTTGACAGAAAGTTATTTAAAGAGTATACCGATAATGTTTCAGCCACAAGAGAAAGATTAGCTGTACTAGTAAAAGTAAATGGTAAGAACATTTAAAACAAGGGTCTGCACACCTTATAAGCTTCCACTCTACTAAGAAAAAAATTTTCACCTTAATCTGAGCCACCGTAATGTATATTCACAAAATAGAAACAGTTTTTTTCAACTGAATTTTAATTCCATTGATTTACTTGTTCTTAATTTGTAGCTGTTCAAAATATTCGTTGAGCTTTTGGTTGAGCAATTTGTATGGTTCTTAAATGTTTATGCTTGATAACACCAGCCAGGCCAATATTTTGGATTTGAATTTTCATTTTGACTTGTACTTTACATTTGATAGAGTATTTTCTTTTTCAGATGAATAAAATTTGGCATTTATAAACACCAAAAAATGCAAAATACTACACATTTTTAGTTAAAATAATTCATAATTTCTTGATGTAATTTACAACACTTGCTTAGTATTTGTTCCACAACACTTTTTTAATGCATTTTGTTGCTTGTAGTTATTAAATATAAAAATTATTTTAATTATGATGTTTCCAAGTAAATGATATTTTTCTTTTTAATTAGACATATTGCTGATCGAATGGGAACTGCTTTTCTTCAAAAAGCTCTTAATCAGGTAGTTATTTCTCAATTTCATAATTTCATTATCTTGCAAAATATTTTTGAAAATTTATTTTAAATTTAAAAATTAAAATCAATATAAAAAAATACCATTAAACTTTTTTTTAATTAAATATTTTTAAATAATTGTTTTTTAATTTTTTTTTATTTAGTTTTTTTTTTTTTTTTGCAGCATTTCTTTTTCTTATTGAGATTTTGTTTTGCATTGAGATTTTTATCTTATTGAAATTTTTTGTTTACTTATGAGATTTTGTCATTGCATTGACATTATTTGTTTTTTAATAAGATTTTGTCTTCACATTGAGGTTTTTTCTTGAGATTTCGTGTTTGCATTGAGGTGTATTGTTTTTTATTGAGATTTTGTTTTCTTATTGAGATTTGTTTTTCTCAAAATGCTAATTTTAAATATTTAAATAACTGAACTCAATTTTTAGCAATTAACAAATCACATAAGAGAGTGTATCCCAAATTTGCGCAACAAGTTGCAGTCACAAGTGCTCTCGATGGAAAAAGAAGTTGAACAGTTCAAAAACTTTCGGCCAGATGATCCAACCATGAAAACTAAAGCACTTATGCAGTAAGATTGTCGTTTAAATTTGTTTTTTAAAATGTTGTTAAAATCTTTAAAAAGCTAAACTAATTTCTTTTTTTAAAGAAAAAATATTTAAAATTTGAAAAAGAACTCTTATATGTTTAATATTTAAATATCAAATAAAATAAAATAAAAGTAATTTTTTATTTGATTGAAATAAAAAGAATTTCCAATTAACTCTTGCATTTGATGTATGTTGATTAATAGATATTTTAAAGTTTATTCTAAAGAATAAAAAATACGTAGTATGTAATGTTGGTGTTCATGTTCACGGTGTTTTGTTTTTAATAAGTTTTAGTTATTTTTGCATATTTAATTAACTAGTTTAATTTTTATTGACAAGTTAAAATAATTTCATTTCATATATTGTAATTGTTCTATTGTGATGGCTATGAATAATATTTTTATAGAATGCTTCAGAATTTCACGATGGATATTGAAAAAGTTATTGAAGGTGGATCAGGAGAAGATATTGACACTGAACATTTATCTGGTGGTGCACGAATTAACAGAGTATTCCATGAAAGATTTCCATTTGAACTTGTAAAACTACAGTATGATGAAAAGGGACTTCGCAAAAAAATAGCATTTGCTATACGTAATGTTCATGGTGTTCGATCAGGTTTATTTACTCCTGATATGGCTTTTGAATCTATTGTTAAAGAGCAGATTGAAAAACTAAAACCTCCAGCAATTCAATGTGTTGATATGGTTATTGCTGAGTTAACCAACATTATTAGGAATTGTACTAAAAAAGTATTTATTATAGTTATTATTTATGTTATTATTACTAGCAATGAGCAACCCGTAAAACAGATAAGTTATGAATTAAAAAAAAACCTTTATTATTATGATTCACAGGTTAGGGAAAATAGATTTTTTTTAGAAAAGTCAATTTTTTCTGAAAAATCTGGTTATCTGTATTTAGATTTAAAGGGCTTGAATTAATGCAAATGCATTTAAAGATCAAGAAAATATCTTTAATGGTTAAATTATCCACTCAATGATGCATTTAGCAAACATTACCTTTTAAATTGCTTGTTTTGTTAACTTATTTTGTTAACTTATTTTGTTAACTTGTTTTGTTTTAAACTTGATCAGTTAATTTAAGTCACTTATTTTTTTTGAAACATTAAAAAACTCATGAAATTTCAAAAATTTTTATTCTGTTATATAAAATCTAAGTTGAATCCTTCAAGATAGTTGGTTGGATTTATTAAAATCTATTATAAGATATCTTTTTTACTTGGTTAAAGCTGATAGTCCTTTGACTTTTATTCATTTTATGTGGTTTTAGTATTTTATAATTCATTTGTATACTTATGCTAGTATAAATTTTATGCGTTTTGTTTATTACTACTGCTACTACTACTACTACTACTACTACTACTACTACTACTACTACTACTACTACTACTACTACTACTACTACTACTACTACTACTACTGCTACTACTACTATATTTAAAACCTACTATATACTATATTTTTCAAATTTATTTATAATGCAAATCTTTTAATCTATATATTATTAGATGTCTAAATACCCTTTGCTTCAAGATGAAGTTGTGAAAATCTGTATGACGCATATCAGATCAGCAGAACAGAAAGCAAAAGACCAGGTTTTAAAAGTTAAAATATTTGATAAAGAAATTTCACCCTGATTGTTGATTTCTTTTGTTATTTTGGTTCTTCTTTTTTTTTTATTGTTTGTTTTTAGATTAATTTTTTATTGCTTTTTTAAAGGTGAAATTGTTGTTAGATTTTGAGTTGTCATATATAAACACTAATCATCCAGATTTTATTGGATTTGCTGAGTGAGTATAAATTTTCGAATATTTAAATATATTTTCTCATTCTGAATTTATTTCATTAAAATAATTTCTTTGTAATTGAGAAATACTCAGTTTATATAGTTTTTTTTTTGTTTATTTTATTAAACTTTTTTTTACTGATGATTCAAAAAAACAAATTTGAAGTTCCATTAAACGCTGCAATTAAATTCCATTAAATGCTTAAATGCTTTTAATTTCCATTAAATCCAAATTTAAAGTTCCATTAAATGCTGCATCATATGTATATATGTTTTATGATTACTAAATAAACATTTGTTTTTCATGCAATTTTAATAATTATTATGATTTTAATATACTGTTGATATTTTATTGTAATGTATATTGTTGTTAAATATATATATATATATATATATATATATATATATATATATATATATATATATATATATATATATATATATATATATATATAAAATAAATTGCTAATTTAGATGAGCACTCTGACGTCACACTGAAACATTGACTGACAAATTGCCTGACTTGCAGGGGAGTACTGTTACATCAACTGAGGGTTTGGCATAGGGCAGCAATCTTTTCTTTCATTATTTTTCGTTTTTTTTTCTTCTTTTTCTAAAAATCCAGTATGCTATAAAGATAAGCAAAAATAGTAAGCAAATGCTCATCTAAATAAGCTATAGAAGATATATATATATATATATATATATATATATATATATATATATATATATATATATATATATATATATATATATATATATATTTATATATATATATATATATATATATATATATATATATATTAGGGTGGGTCATAAAATTTTTTTTTAGAGTTGCTAACCTGGCTATGGTCTAGAAAGTTGTTTTTTTATGTACTAATTTAGGAAAGTATTTACTTTAATGGATTGAACAATGTCTTCCACCCGCAACTATAATTACAAAAATTAGCAGGCCCTATTATTATTCAAAAAAAAAGTTTTTCAAAATTATGTGATGTAGGTACTCAAATAAAGCAAAATTTTATAAAAATTTCAAAAATAATAATTCTTTCATATAAAAATTATTATTTTAGATTTTATTGCTTAATAACTATAGTTTTTTAACTAAAAGTGAAAAAGGTGCATTTTTTATGTTTTTTAATAACAATTTTTTTCGGCAATATGATTTTTATAAAACGATTTTTTATTTTTTATTATTTATATTATTTTTGAATTTTTTATAAAATTTCGCTTTTTTTGAGTACCAGGTTGACCTGGTACTTTTGAAAAACTTTTTTTCACCAAAATATTAGGGTACCGGTAATTTTCCCAATAAAGTTGCACCCTTTAAATCTATCACAATCATTTTCATATTTGATAGTATCAATATTAATAACTATTAACAATGTTTAGAGCCTGTAACAAGAAAAAAAAATTTTATGACCCACCCTTATATATATATATATATATATATATATATATATATATATATATATATATATATATATATATATATATATATATATATATATATATATATATATATATATATATATATATATATATATATATATATATATATATATATATATATATATATATATATATATATATATATATATGTATATATATATATATATACATATATATATATATATATAATAACACACACACAAACTAATAAAAAATACATAAAGAAATAAATATATAAAAAAGATGTTTACTATATTTCAATTATTAGTCATTTTATTAAGTTTTTTTTTTTAAAACTTTATTTAAATTTTATTTTTTTCTTAGCCAAAAAAGGTATGCGGAGGTATTGCATAGTTGTTAGTTTTATTTTTTGTTTGTTTATTAGCACGATAGTCTTACAGAATAGGATTTATTTTTACATAGAACTTATTTGATTTGTAATGATTATTTTTTGAGTTTGTTGTTATTATTTATTTTTAAGCATTGTTAGTTATTAATTATTTTAGCAAGTACTTATACAATCTACTTTTAGATTGTACAAAATGAAAACTTTTTTTAGTATGTTTTACTACAGTTAATAGTTTTGTTAAACAAATATTTTTAATTTATTTTTTTAATTATTTAAAATTTTATTTCTTTATTATAATTTACATTTGACATAATTAGTTTTCAATATTTTGGACAAGTATTAGGTTTATAGTATTTCAACTAATCTTATTAGAGACAGAAAATAATTAAAAATTGAAAGATTTTTTTATAAAATTAGTTATGATAATTTTACTTATGAGACCATTGGTAGAGAATCAATTAAATTTAATATTTTTATTGAAACCTGCATAAGCATAGTATTTTAGACATCTCAAATTTTCTTAAACTCAAAATTTGACACTGCTTTATATATATTAACATATTTAACAAAATTTGACACTGCTTTATAATATATTAACATATTTACGTTGTTAACGTTTTTTAGTAATATACAAGCTTAAATAGAAACACACACATGTAAGTACCTGGTTTAGCAGAGCTCTTCTTTTCCAAAAAATTAAAAAAAACTAGTAAAAATAGTTATAACTAAAAATAGTTTTACATTTGTTTACATTTGTTAATTAAATTCAAGGGTCGAAATAATTAAAAATGAGCAATGGTTGGTTGCCTCCATAATTTAGGCCTTAAAATTAGTCTGGCACCCCCTGGACTATTTTTAAGGCCTAAATTATGGAGGCAACCAACCATTGCTCATTTTTACTGAAAAAATGAACACTGGTTTGTTGCCCTCCTCTAGCAGGTCTCAAGAATGGTCTGTGGGGCAGCGATCTCCACTTATTTCGACCCCCTTTGTAACTTAGTTTTTTTTATTACTTTAAAAGTCTTTTAAATTTTAAAGTTCATTTTCTTATTTTGTTAGCAATAATATTTAGTTCTAAAAGTTTCAATACCTGGTCAATCAATTTCATTCTTTCATATAAACCATATTCTAATTTTTTTTTTTCCTTTTTATAAATCTTTACCATTCAATTGTCATCCAATTATTTTTTCTTTATCTTCGTGTTCAATAAAAATCCTAAATAACCTTAAATTCACTTAAAAAACCTTAAAAAACCTTAAATTCACTTCACTTCACTATAGGATATCTAATAATCTTTCTAATTTCTGCTCTTGCTTGAATTTATTTTTTCAAAATGGATACATACTTTACCTTTATTCAATTTTCAAGTTCTGCATTTACTCACAAAGATCTCTATTCTTTTTTCTCTCTAATTTCATGTCACAAATTTGTACTATGCAATAAAAGATTTAAACTGTATTAAGCAATGACTTACCAATAGCTAATTTTTATGTCATCACACTCTCATTTCCAGTTTCGTCTTGTTTTTCTCTTATTTTACCCTTTTTTTATTTTGCTTTTGTATCAAGAAATCCACTCATATCTTAAAGCCATCAGACTCATAAGTTAATTTTCTGTGAGTTTTTTTTTTTTTTTTTGTAAACTAGTTATTTTAGACTATCAATCTCATAGTATTTGAAAATTCTAACAACATTTCTTAAGCCAACCCCTTTTTCACTACTTACTCTCTCAAAACTTTGTGGCTGCACCTACATGCCCATTTGCATTTTTATTTACAATAAAACTTACAGAAAACAACCTATTTTATACAATTCAAAAAAACTGAGTATTTTATTGTAACACTTTAAGAATAATATCTTTGGTTAACAAGATCCTTACACACTAATGCTTAGGTTTTATTTCAGACCACATTAATGCTTAGGTTTTATTTCATACCACACTAATGCTTAGGTTTTATTTCAGACCACACTAATGCTTAGGTTTTATTTCAGACCACACTAATGCTTAATAAAATGTTTAATGAATGTTTTATTTTCCATTTGATATTTTTATTTTAAAAAAAATACACAAAACGCAACAGATTGCATACATATGCTAAGGAAAATTATTATAAAATAAATTTTAATAAAAGACAATTTCAAGTCTTAAAATGGTATAAAAATAAACAGATTGATGTTGTACTAAGATTTAAAAAGGCGGGGTTAATAAATTTTAAAAAACTCTATACAAAAATCTAACTTATGATTTTGTTTTTTTAATGTTTATTTTGTCATATATATTATTTATGTTTTATTTTTTATTTAATAAATTTATTTGTGTGTTTATATTTTTATTGTTTATATTTTGTTATCTGTGTTTGTTACCGATTAAAAATTTTAATCCATTAACACGACTAACAAAATAATCAGTTGTATGGACTACACTTTTATCGTTGATTGCATTTAATGATTTGCAGAGCTCAAAACCGTGCAGCTGGTGATACAGGTGCCCCTCAGCGTCAAAGAGTTACAAATCAGGTTATTCGAAAAGGCTGGCTGCTACTTGGTGGAGGAGGATTTATGAAAGCTTCTAAGGAATACTGGTTTACGCTTTCTGGTTTGTTATTATTGTTAAAAAAAGTTTTTCTTAATTTTTGCATTAATTTTAAAACTTATCTATTTTATTTTTAGCTGAAAATCTTTCTTGGTATAAAGATGAAACAGTAAGATTTTATTCATAAATAATATTGAGACATCTAATGATAGCTGGCCTAACTGTCTTGCAATAATTAAATGTCCTAACTGATAACTGACCTGCAAGTCCTAAGAGAGGCTAAGCTTTGAGCAAATTTGAAACATCGCCAAGCATTAATAGTCAGATAAGATTTTTCAAAAGTTTTATTTAAAAAAATAAGAAAGGTTTTGCACTTTACCTGTGGGACTTTTTTTTTTTACTTTTTTTCTAATTTTTAGAAAATGTCAAAGTAATGAAAAAAACAAAATATTATCAACAAAGAAAAAACACTTGAAAAAAAACCCACATTATAAACAAAAAAGTTGATACCAACATTTTGTGCAGCCTTAAACAGACATATTGAATAAAAAATTAGATTGTTTTTTATTATTAATTAAATATTTAAATATTAAACTTTTTTTTTTTTACTAAAAATTAAATTCTTTGTAAACATGTTTTCTGAGGCTGCATCAAAAATTTGCACTTAACGTACGCTAAACTTTTTTTCATAAGGCAAGTGAAAGTGCAACAATTTTTTAATAAATGGTTCTTTGAAACCTAAAATAATCTTTGCTTTCACAACAAAATTGCTGATAAAATAACCTTTAATAAATAAAGTAAATAAAAAAAGTAAACTTTAATAAATAAATTTTTTTATTTGTTACTTACTAAGTTTTAAAAACATTTTTAGTTGCAAAGCCACAATTAAAAATTTAAGAAATAATTTTAAAAAATTTAACATATTTTAATTCATTTATACAAATATCTAGAAAAAAATGGAGTTTGTTTATATCAAACATTAAAAAAAATGTAATATTAAATTTAATTATTTAATATTAAAAAAAATTAATTTTATTTTTAATTATGCTACATTGTTTTTGTTTATTTATTTAATTTTTTACTTGAACTTGTTTTGCTGTCATTTGTTATATAGCGGTAGTTTATAAAAGTTAAAATCTTTAAAAAATAAAAAATTGTTAGAATTTTATGACGTCAACTTCACAATAACTTAATGCGTTTAGCATTTTTTATTTAAAACAAGGCTTGTTATATATACATCTTTTGTATACTGTATAATGCTTCCGTAGATAAGGATACACATGTTCTAAACAAGCATTCTATAAGTCAATATAAAAACGCACCTGGTGTAGATATTGGATCAAGTTTTTTAACTGTTTCTCCATTATTTGGTGCCAGTCCCAAAAGACTCCAATAAAACGTTTGTCGAAGCTAAAAAGCAAAACAGTCATTTTAACATCCTCACGTTGCAAAAAGCTATTACTGGAGGCCAAATTGGAAAAAAACATCCAAAATCTGAAAAAGCCAAGTAGTGTCTTTTATTATGTCTTTATTGTGAGGAGCTCTATTCCTCGAATGCTGAAAGTTGGATGTTGTCATGAGAGCCATAAATGGGCTATTATCCTGTGTTTCACGATTGATGAAAAAAAATATACAAACTTTAGTGTTTATTTTTGTATTTTGTTTTTGTTCAATTTCTTATGTTAATGAATAGCCATAAGCATGCCTTTTTAATTGGAAAAAAACTCAACTTTCAATTATAAAGTAAAGATTGTTCTACAAAATGTTGTAATTAGTTTTTGTAACATTTTTTAAACAGCATAAAAATATAAAAACTACTTTTTTGATGCTTTGTAAATCTATTTTAGAGAGAGCAGTTAAATTGAGAAAACATTCTTTTTTAAATTGACTTTTTTAATTGCAGGAACTCTTTCAAGTTCCTAGTTTTCTACATATAACAACTGTAGTTATATTCATATTTTGATATACTTGTTTTTTACATATAACAACTGTAGTTATATTCATATTTTGATATACTTGTAGTTATACTAATATTTTGAAGTAAAACATACAACACCACTTTAGGTATACAAAATTTTGAAGTAAAACATACAACACCACTTTAGGTATACAAAATTTTAGCACAGTTTCACATTTCTGTAACATCTAACATTTGGTCTGCAAAAGACTTTTTTTGAACATTCAAAAGATGTTTAAAAAATATATTTTTTGAATTAAACTTATGTATGCTTATGGCCAGATTAGAATGTTTCGCAAAATATTTTGGTAATTGTAGCCTTGGAACAAAAATGCTGTATATTAGTAAAATGTCAAAACAATTCCAAATAAATTACTTATGCAAAAAACATTGTAAAACTCTTAACATTAAATTGGCATTCTAATTCTTTAAAATTAATACCTATTTTTTACTGTGCCCAAACTTCGGATCACTTAAAAATCACGAAGAAGCGTTACACTAATGCGTAAAAACTAATGGGAAAAACCTGATCTTAATAAAAAGGTTTTTAATTACATGCTATCACTCCAGCTCTAATCGACCTTTCATGTTTTCTTCTGTTTGACTAATGAATATAATTAATGTTTATTTTCACTATATATCAAACAGTTTTTGTATTTAACAGTTTTATACCTCAAAATTATTGCATAATCAAAACATGTTGTTTAAACTAAAAAAAATTGTTATATTTATTAGACTTATTAAGAAATTTATGCTATTACATTCATTTGTTATATTGTTTTTATAATTTTTATTGTTTAAAATAAATTCAATAAAAACACAAAATAAAACTGTTTACGCAGGAAAAAAAAAATTGTTTAATTCAATATTTTTATATCAAATAATGCACACTAAAATAATTCAATTTGTAGCTAAAATATTTGAATTAAGTAGGAACTTCTTCATTAAAGTTAGTAATATGTTTAGTGGCATTATCATGTAGTGTTTTATACATGGGGTCATCCATAAATTACGCAACGCTAAATTTCACTAATAAACAAAACAAAAAAGGTCAAAAGACCTTTTATTAGTGAAATAATAATTTGTTTTAGTTGCATAATTTATGGACGCTCCTCACAGAGTGTCCATAAATTATGCAACGCTAAAATAACAGGATGTCTGCCAGATCAGGGAAATCAGGCAAAACAGGTAAAAGTCAGGGAATTTAGATATCTGACAAAAAATCAGGGAATTATCAGGGAAATTAGGTTAAATTTTAGAAAAATCAGGGAGAAATCAGGGAGAAATCAGAGAAAGTGGCTCTTCGTCCAACTTTATAAATACCCTTTAATTATAATGGTAGCATTTTGAACAATAGTTACAGATTGTTACATGCGCTTTATATTCAAATCAGAGGCAAAATATTCACGTTCTGGATCGTGTTATGAATATGACAAAGAAGCAAAAAAATCATTGACTATACAAGATATTTTTGTTCTTATTGTAGCATTAGTATCTACTATACACACATTGTTATGTTGTATACAGAATTTACATTCCCAAATTGAGCAACATGAGAAAAACCTTAAAGAACCACTATGCAAAAAATTACTTAATAAAAGCAACTGTAAATTTTATACAAACAGATAAAATTGAGTTGCTTCATAAATTGCATGAAAAAATTATGCCACTAATAAAAAGAAGATCTGAGAACGTTTGTCGCATATCATTTAAATCAACACCACAGAAAATGGGCCCAAAAACAAAACTAAATTCAATTGATGAATTTTTATTGACATTAATCAAGTTGCGACTTGGTCTACTCAATAAAGACTTGTCAGATAGAATCAGGGTTTCTGAAGGATTATCTCCAAAATTTTCCATACTTGGATTAGAGGGATGGTCTGAGTATTTTAAGATTTTTTTATGCAAGATATGGGTGCAATACTTGCAGATATGGGTGCGATACTTGCTACAACACCTCTAAGTATAACTATAAAAAATTTATACCTTAAAATATTCATCTTTTCTTACACCTAAAAATATTCATCTTTTCTTCCATTATGACTTGCTCTGCATGTAAAAGTTTGAATATGGCTTTTAATAGCTTCTTTTCTTTCTTTTCAGAAAAAGCTTCTTTTTTTCTCCTTTATTTCCAGGTCTGGTTGTTCCATGGTCATAACTGTAACACACCAGTGTCTTGCAGTTCTTAAAACTCTATCAGGATTTATGGCTAGATAATATAAACAATAAATTATTAGCTTTTGTCACTTAAGTTTTTTCAAAAAATTTATGTCCTTAACTTATGCTTATATTTCTGAATTAAAGTTAAGTACTTTTATACTTACACAATGCTAAAACTAAATAAATTTTGGCAAACTGTAGTTTGTATGCCTCTCTATAAAAAGTGCTTATTGTTCATAGTTCTTAACTTTCTTCACTCATTATATTCAACCCTCAGAATTAGGGTCAGCATTTGGCAATGCTGACCTAACTACTGGCGTTAAAGTGTTTGAGGTCGGCAAAAAATTGCCGACCTCGTTTCGTTATGTTTTATGGTATCTCCTTTGTATCAGGTTTTTTTTGCCGACCTTAAGCTGACCTCTAACAGTTTGAGGTCGGCAGTAAATTGCCGACCTCATTTTTCTTAATTCCGATGGTTGTTATATTTCTCTTTATATACTGACTATATTAAGGATTGGTAGTATAGAAGCATCTTGTAACATTTTGTTGATATAACTATAGAATTCTGAATGACATTTAGGCAGGTTGTCTGGCATATCTCAAGCCTGATATAAATCAATGTTAAATTTAAAGGTTATGGTATAATTTATGATGTCATAAAATAAGTCCAACTGAAAAGCTGACCATCAAATTATTTTGGCAACCAATCAATAATTTTTGTAATTTTTACCTAAATTTTGTATTCATAACGCTTTATGCATTACTCTATTTTGTGTTTGTGCACCATTTTATGAGTGTAGTATTGGAATAGAGCCTAATAACCTACAAAAAATGCTTATTTATTTAAAAAAAATCTTTATTTAAGAATAATCTTTTAACAAAATATAATAGTAATCTTTATTTTTTGCTTTTGCGAGTCAGGCTATTTGTCAGTCGATGTAGCAACACTCCCTTGTAGCAGCAGGCTATAAGATAGTCGATGTAGCAACACTTACGCATGTTTTAAAAATGTTTTTTAATAAAACAAAAACAAAAACACCACTAATTAAAAAAACTTTCTAGTCACTATTATTGCAGTTTTTTTAAAAAACAATAAAATTGAATGTACTTCCGCATTAATTTAATTGCTTCGACTTGTCGACGACAATAAAATTCAGCTTAAGAGACAAGGTAAAAAAATTGTAGTCGAAAGAGACTTTTTTTACCATAAAAGTCTCTTTTGACTACACTATAAGGATATATATATATGCATATATATATACATGCATATATATATATATATATATATATATATATATATATATATATATATATATATATATATATATATATATATATATATATATATGAATGTATTAATATAATATTTTTTTTTAAATATTGCTAATGATTTTAAAACTTTGTGTTATAAAAGTGTTATTTGTGTTATTTGCTCTTATAAATGCAATTTTTTCAGAAATATAAATGTTAAAACTTTCTATATCTTTATCCTGGCAGTTGTTATCTCTATATCACCCAAAACAATGATTCAATGATTTTAAAATATTGATGAAATCACCCTATTTTGTAATTAAACACTTGATGCTTGCACAGGTTCCTTATTTTTTACAGGTTTTTTTTTATAGGAGATGTTTTGAGATATGCGTTCTAATTCAAAAAAAAAATGTACAGATGTAACAAAATGTTAAATGTACAGAAGTAAAATGTAAAAATTTCAAATTTTTGAGAAAAGTTTGATTTTTTACTTGTGATTCTAAATTTTTTTACCTTTATTTCTTTTTTGAAAAGTTAATTTTCAATAAAAAAAAATATTAATTTTATTTAAAAAAATAAAATTATTTTTTTTTTTTAAATATTGCTAATGATTTTGAATCACTTTTCTGTTTTTAACAACTTTTATGGAAAACCTGGGCCAACTAAAATTGCATAACTTATCTTTATGCTTGACTGGCTAGCTTGACATAAAGGAATGTAAGACTTTAGATTATCAGACTGGTTTATATTTATCTAATAGTGAAGGTGTGAGAATAAGTGAAAAGTAGGCTGCTAGAAATGTTGAATCTAAGCCCTTATTAGGTAAACATTTTGTAGACATTGCAAATGCCTACAAAATTTAACTAATAAGGCATTATAAAAGCAAGTAAAAAAATTTTTTTTTTTTTTGAATTAGAACGCATATCTCAAAACATCTCCTATAAAAAAAAACCTGTAAAAAATAAGGAACCTGTGCAAGCATCAAGTGTTTAATTACAAAATAGGGTGATTTCATCAATATTTTGAAATCATTGAATCATTGTTTTGATTGATATAGAGATAACAACTGCCAGGATAAAGATATAGAAAGTTTTAATATTTATATTTCTGAAAAAATTGCATTTAAAAGAGCAAATAACACTTTTATAACACAAAGTTTTAGATGCTGACTATAATCGATTACAGATTGTGTAAGGATCATGAAAAAAATTAATACAAAACTAACCTAGGGTCTTATAACAGGGCTCTTCTTTAGACCCTTTTTTAATAATAAATAATGTGACCTTTTGATGCTGGGAAAAACATTGTTTGAGAACATAACAACTTAAACAATATAATTTAACATAACAACTTAAACAATAACATCTTAACAACAATATTAACATCTTAAGTAACATCTTTAAGACTATTGAAACTTTCTTACCAATCATAGTATAAAAGTTATCCTCGATGGACAGCATTCTTCTCCATTTCCTATAACTTCAGGGGTTCCTCAAGGTTCTATCCTTGGCCCTATATTTACTCTCTATAAATCTTTATAAATTTCAAATCCACCCTTTTATGGTTGCCATATCTGGAGCCAATCATCGAATGATGCCTTTTCCTTTTTAGACAAGATGCAAAAATGCATTGAAAATATAGTTGGACCTGCTTCCATTCCAACCTTCAACTATTGTCACATTGTTGCTTCTATTTCTCTTTTCTTTAATAGGCACTGCTCTAAAGAGCTAGCGTCTCTTGTACCATCTACTAAAACTAATTCTTGTGTTATTTGTCATTCAATCAAGTCTCACCCTTTTTCTGTGACTGTTCCTAAATGTTCAAAATTTTTTTATTTGTCTACATTTTTTCCTCAAACAAAAAGTTCTTTGGAATTCGCTCTCTTCATCTTGTTTTCCTGATTTATACAATTTGCAATCAAGTCGAAAGTTAATTCTTATCTTGCTTTATTAACTTCATCTTTTCTTTTCCATTAACTTCCAACTCTAATAGTGGTTGCTTGCAGCCTTGTTGGAAGTGAAGATATATATATATATATATATATATATATATATATATATATATATATATATATATATATATATATATATATATATATATATATAGGCCTCGGCGGGAAGCCAGAGCTTTAGCTCTCACCCACACTCCCCTAAAATGGTTTACGGGAGCAATTTACGGCTCTCGCAAAAGTATAATTTGTCATTTGTCAAATGTCATTTATAAAAAAACTAATTGCATAATATACTGCAATGCTTTTTAAAAAGCACGGTTGTTGTAAAAAAAAATTAAAGTTTAAATGAGCACCAATTTATATGAGGAGCAGCTTGCACAGCTCCCCAAGTTCATTTTAGGAGAGCCTTTCTCTGCTCTCGTGCTCATTTATTTATATATATATATATATATATATATATATATATATATATATATATATATCCTTATAGTGTAGTCGAAAGAGACTTTTATGGTAAAAAAAGTCTATTTCGACTACAATTTTTTTACCTTGTCTCTTAAGCTGCATTTTATTGTCGTCGAAAAGTCAAAGCAATTAAATTAATGCGGAAGTGCATTCAATTTTATTGTTTTTTAAAAAAACCGCAATAATAATGACTAGAAAGTTTTTTTTAATTAGTGGTGTTTTTGTTTTTGTTTTATTAAAAAAACATTTTTAAAACATGCGTAAGTGTTGCTACAACTATCTTATATCCTGCTGCTACAAAGGAGTGTTGCTACATTGACTATCTTATCTATATATATATATATATATATATATATATATATATATATATATATATATATATATATATATATATATATATATATATATATATATATATATATATATATATATATATATATATATATATATATGCACATATATATATATGCATATATATATATATATATATATATATATATATATATATATATATATATATATATATATATATATATGTATATATATATATATATATATACACACACACACTAGCAGTAAGCAATATGGGTTATTGGTAAATAAATCATATAGCCAATACAGTAGCACCAATTGCACAGACCACCGCCTCAAATGAACACAATAGCAACTTCACTAACTATAGTTTGCAATTGAAACATTAAATCATGGAAGCAAAGATAACCACAACGGGTCATAGATATGCTGTTGAACTTAAAAGCAAGATAAAAATTCACACAAATAATAATCATTAATACAACAACCGTTTTAAAATAATAAAATCAATAACAAATAATTTAATAGTTATATTAAATAAATATGATAAAATAAATTCTTTTTTACATATGTTTACAAATAATAATGCTTAAAAAAATCTTAGCAATCCAAAGTCCTCTGAGGATTATAATTTGTATTAAAAACTAAATTTTTTTCAAAGTTTTTTTATTAAAATATGGTTCATTGTTTAACCTCAAAAAATGATATAATTTTAATAAAACATTTAAATTGTTTAAACATAGATTAAACTTAAAAGAGTTAAATAACTCTCAGTTTAACTTTCCACATTTATAATTTTTTATATAGGAGAGAGAATTAAAATACCAACTTAGAATGGAAAATTTAAAAGTGAAAGATCTTGAATCAGGATTCATGTCCAAACGTGTTTACTTTGCAATATTTAATCCAGATACTAGGTAAGAAAAATTGTTATGGTGTTTTGTTTTAGACAAAGATCTATTTTTTTAGGTAAATATATACTGTTCTCTTAAGTAGAGAATGTGCTTCTTATTTTTTTTTCATAAATTATGTAAACAGTATATAAATTATATACTGTTTATAAATATATATATATATATATATATATATATTTATATATATATATATATATATATATATATATATATATATATATATATATATATATATATATATATATATATATATATATATATATATATATATATATATATATATATATATATATATAAACATTATATAATTTATATACTGTTTATGTTATTTTTAAGAACAGAATGTTTGAATGATATTATATTTCAAACATTCTATTTTTATAAATTTAATATAGTTTTCTGTGTAGATTTTAGTAGATAAGCACAGTATGTATGAGAAATCTTAGATATTCATTTTTAAATTTTGAAGTCAGATAAAAAAGCGACAAATCAAAATAATTTTATTATTCAGCAAGTTATATTTGTTTTTTAAAAAGCAAAATATCTGGTTACTGTTTACATAACTATTTGAGACCTGATGCTATAACAACAATTTTTGTTTGCTAAAAATTTGGTATAACATTCAATTTTTAGTATTTGAAACCAGCCATAAGTAAAAATATTTAGAAACCACACACTAAGAGAATCCTATTTTTTTGAAGAAAAGATAGTTAATACTGAAAAAAAAATTCATCTAAGAGATTGCATAGGTTTAAACAATCTGCTAACTGTCATCAAGAAGTTGTTTTTTGTAATGAATGCTTAAAAATTGCAAAGAAAGTTTTTCAGATGTATAATGCAAATTTTTTTGCTTTGAAATGTGATTGATGATTTACAAATTTAAATATTATTTTTATAAATAATAATAATAATTTTATTGTTTGTTTCATCAACTTCTGCATTAACATTTTTATTCATCAAAAATAGATGATTATTCTAGTCATCTATCCAAACCACCTTCATTTTCGTTGATTCATCTTATCAAGTACACTATTCCTAATCTCTGTCTCAGATCTTTTCTTATTTTTAAAAATTACATTGAAAAATTTATTCATTTCAAGCAACATGCTCATATAAACAGGCCCAAAATCCATAGATAAACATGCTCATATAAACAGGCCCAAAATCCATAGATAAACATGCTCATATAAACAGGCCCAAAATCCATAGATAAAGCGTGTGCACGAAATAAATGTAAAAGTAGAAAAACAACTAAAAAAAAGTAATCTTCAATTTTTATTTCCAACCAAGTAATAACTTTAATATAATAATATAAGAAGATCAAATATAGAAAAAAAACCAAATTATTCTTATGGGAATCTGATAAAATTTCGAACTTTTGCTTTGGTGGTACCCATAAGCTTGTACATAGAATAAGAATTGAAGCCATTTGATGCTTTTTTAAATGATATATTTATATATTTAATATTTCTGCAAAGTTTTTTTGTTTTTTTCATTTTTCTTTTTATAATGGCCCAGAACTTTTCAATAACTCTTTATTCTGGGCAGTTTAGAGGATTTTCTGTTTTAGGCACAAAATTCACATTATTATTTTAATACCATTCCAAAGCTAGTTTGTAATAATGAATTTAAGCTAAACCTGGCCAGAACACAGATCTCTTATCGTGCGATTTAATGAAAGGTAAAAGGCGTTTTTGTAAACACTCTTCAGCATATATTTGACCCAAAAGTGTGTACTGAGAAATTTAAGGTGCTGATTTTTTGCCACAACTGCAAATAGCTTGCCAAATCAAGACTTTTTTAGGAAACTTGTCATGTTTTATGTATTTAAATTTCTTATCTGCTTTTCCTCTACATTTGGCAATATAATAGACGGCATCAGGAATTTGCTGATGATCGTACTTGATATAAGTTTCATCGTCTTCGATAATACAGAAACTTTTAGAAATAAAATTGTCATAAAACTTTCTGCGACGGGTTTTTGCACTTTTTTGTTGAGTTTCAGATCGGTTGGACACTTTTTGTGCTTTGAAAGAATGAAAACCATGTTTATTTTGAACTTTTTCAACAAAACTGTGAGAAAGTTCAAATGTTTGCGTGCTCCCTTAGTGAAAAGCTTGGGTTAGTCTTAAAACCAGTTTTCTAACTAGTTTTTTAATTTTGTTTGAGAAAAACATTGGGTTATACGACTAACGGTATATGGATGTATTTGCAACGCTTTTGCTATCGAATTGTAGCTACTATTGGGATTTTCCAAATATTTGTGCATAATTTTTTCTCTTAGGTCTTCTTCTTTTGTCATTTTTTAAACTAATTTTAAGTTAAATCAAAAAACTAATGCATTTCTTTGAAACCACAACATGTTGTAAACAAAATACAAAACAATTAAAAAGATTTTAAAATCTGAAAAAAAATGACGTACTTCTTCTTTCACATTTCATTCATGTACACGCTTTACAATTAAATTAAGATAAAAAAGTTATTTTAAACAATTTAATATTCTGCTAATTTTAATATTCTGAATTAATAGTTAATTGAATTAATATTGCTTTTTTCACACACAACAAACTGCTTCTTTCAAAAAAAACATGATTGATACACGAAATAGGTAGCAAAATTGATGTATGTATGTATGGTATGTATGTATGTATGTATGTATGTATGTATGTATGTATGTATGTATGTATGTATGTATGTATGTATGTATGGTATGTATGTATGTATGTATGTTTGTATGAATGAATGAATGCATGTATGTATGTATTATATATATATATATATATATATATATATATATATATATATATATATATATATATATATATATATATATATATATATATATATATATATATATGTATATATATATATATATATATATATATATATATATATATATATATATATATATATATATGTATATATATATATATATATATATGTATATATATATATATATGTATATATATATATATGTATATATATATATATGTATATATATATATATATATTTTTATTTATATATAATATATATATATATATATATATATATATATATATATATATATATATATATATATATATATATATATATATGTATATATATATATATATATATGTATATGTATCTATGTATGTATATGTGTATATGTGTATGTTTTTATATAATATAGATACATATATACATTTGTATATAAAATTTGTATAAATTCAATCTATGATATTACCGGTTTTACACATTTTATATAAATAAAACAAGTTACCTTAAACTAAAAAATTTGAATTCTTTGTCAATATAGGATATACCAAATATTTATAATATACATAAATATAAATATATATTATAGTAAATATAATATACATAGATAAAGATGTATATAAATATGGTTATTGTCTTCTAAAAACACCATCTTTTGGAAAACCAATTGATTCAATGAAAATATATTGTTAATATTCAAACTATAAATTTTATTTGTCAATATAACTTCACTATAAAATAACTGCTTATCATTATATTTTCAGGTTTCTCCATTAACACGATACTAATAAATTGTTAATAGACTTAAGTCTTCAGTCTAGTAACTTAATCATATAGAATATATAAGCTAACATAATTTTGGATTTAAGTTATTAAACATTTAAATATTAAGGAATTTGTATTTTAACTTGCCTCACTCTTCACCTTTTCAACAGAAGATTTGCTTCAAAATTTTTTTTTTAATTATAAGGCTGGGCATGCAAATTGCCGTATCCAGTAATTTATATATATATGGTATACACATATACATACATACTTACATGTAAACATACACACACAAATACATACATACAAACAGATATACGTGCATACATACATACATACATACATGCATACATACATACATACATACATACTTACATGTAAACATACACACACAAATACATACATACAAACAGATATACGTGCATACATACATGCATACATACATACATACATACATACATACACACACATACATACATACATACATACATACATACATACATACATACATACATACATACATACATACATACATACATACATACATACATGCATACATACATGCATACATACATACATACATACATACATACATACATACATACATACATACATACATACATACAGACACACACACATACATACATACGTACATACATACATATATACATACATACATACATACATACATACATACATACATACATACATACATACATACATACATACATACATACATACACATTAAAAAAATTAAACTCTATTTAGTATTGCAACTTGCTTCTCTAAAAAAGTTAAATTTTTAACACGGAAAAAAATTCTCTATATATTTTTTATTTTATATTAAAAAACTATTGTTTTTAAGTAAAAAAATCATAAATTAGTATTGATATTGGAAATGATAATTAAGTTTGATTTTAAAAAAAGCAAAGTTATATTAAAAAAAATTTTACACAATTTTTTAGTTTTTTATAAAGTAATTTTAATAATTTTTTATCAAAAAATAGCATAAATTTCTAAAAAAAAACTTTTTTCTGTAGAAATTTATTTAAAGATTGCAAGCAATTGGAACTATCTGCTGAAAGTGCAGAAGTTGTAGATGAGTGGAAAGCATCCCTTTTACGAATTGGTGTTTATCCTGAACGTAATGTAGCTGATGATAGCATAGTTGATGTATGAACTGTTTTTTCTATTTCGCAGTTAATTGTTTTACTTACTTTGTAGTATAAGTGAATAAGTTTTATATTTTTCATTTTAGAAAGGCGAACTTGGCTCAATGGATCCACTCATGGAGCGTCAAGTAGAAACAATTCGAAATTTAGTTGAGTCATATATGAAAATAATAACAAAAAATATTCAAGATGTTATACCGAAAGCCTGCATGTTTTTAGTTGTCAATGCTGTAAGTCATTTTCAATTTCTAAATATTTTTTGTTTTTTTAATTCACATCCCCAAGGCTCCAGAAGGGGCCACTACAGTCAAGGAGGCTTTAAAAAATTTGTATTTTGTGTTAATGGTTTAAAATTGTTTGTTTAGGCAAAGATGTTTGTATCACAAGAACTACTTGCCTATTTATATGCCCAAGGAAATACAGTGAGAAATGTTTTTTTCTTTAATTTTCTCTTTACATGTAATTTTTTTCATTCAAGTTTATGACATTGTGTTATAAGTTTATGTGCATTGTATGTGTGTACATTGTGTTATAAGTTTATGTGCATTGTATATATGTTATCAAAACTTATTATGCTATTTTCACATAGGTAAGTTGATCAGATAATTCAATACGTCTTGTTCAATGTTCAGATAGTTTGATTTGATGAACAAATAAAATTTTGTTAATTAATTATTGCGTTAAAAGTTATAGTTTACCAATCTTGGATTTTCAAGTAACACGGGACATTTTGTGAAGCTGATTCGGAAATCGACACAAAAGTTTTGGTTTTGCAATAAAATAATATGCAGCACTGTTAATATTTTTTTTAGAATGATTTGATGCATGAGAGTGATGAAGAAGTGAATCGCCGAAATGAAATGTTGCGCATATATCAAGCTAGTAAAGAAGCTTTAAGAATTATTGGAGATATAAGTCAATCAACAATGTATACACCCACGCCACCACCTGTTGAAAATAATATGGAAGTCGATTATTCGACTAGGTTGGTTTGTTAGTAACCATACTTTTAAGATCAAATTGTTTAATTATCAATTAAATCCAAACATTAAAAATATACAAATTATTTATATTATTTATGTTCAAAGTTTTGAAAGGTAGAAGATTATGTTGATTCATATTTTATATGTACCTTTATACTAAAGTAGAAATGATGTGTTATTTAGTCAATCATCTGCTTACAAACCTTCTATGCCGACCCGGCCAGTTTCAGTCTCTAATGCTCCACGACCACAACCAGATAACCCATCTGTACCTAGGTAAGTTTATTTTTTCCTTAATGTCATCCAGTTTTTGAATCAGATTCATTAGTAAACTTATAGTTAACATCATTTTGTTTAAATGAAAGAAATAATTAAAGTGTTATCAAAAAAAAAAAGAAGTAATTCTCGATTGTTCTAATTGTTGGATCTCAATTGTTCTCGATTGTTCTAATCTCAATTGTTTTATAATTAAATTTTTATATTTCTCATGAGTTTTTTTCAGATATAGTTCAGTTAATTTTTCGCCTAGGAGACCTGCGCCTACTCGTCCGGTACCTTCACAGCCACCTCAGCCACCTCAGCCAGCACGTCCTCCTCCTGTACCAAGTCGGCCAAGTTAGCAACACGTTCAACTTCATGGATTCTAATTTTGTATGCCTGTTAATTACGCTTACGTTGTTGTATATAAAATTTAGAGTTCTTTTAATGCGTTTTATGCGTTGTGTGATGAAACATTTTATAATATAAAACATAAATATTTTTTTTTATAGATTCACATTAACAGTCACTATTTAACAAAAAACTCAACAAAATTAAAACCTTGCGTAATAATCTTGTGTAAATTTTTTGAATTTTTTATAACAATTTAGTCGTGAACACAAACATGCATTTGCAACAAGTATCTTCGGTGCATTTTTGTTTAAATTTAATAATTTTATTTTAAGTAAACTTAGTAGAATGATTTTTACTTCGACAGTCGAATTATGATGTGAATACTAAAAATTTTGTATAACGTATAACTTTTTATATCAATGTTTCATTGTTTATTTGTCATGTATAGTTCAAATAAAGTTTCGTGCGATGCACTAAATCAAGTAGTTGTTTATTTTGCCAAGTTATTTCTTATTAACAAATCTAAAAATTATTTACAAATAAGAGTCTTGAGTAAGATTATATCATGAAACAAAATTTTTGCAATCGCCTGGAAACAATATTAAACTTCAAATTTCGGAACAAATTTGCGATTAGAGCCTGAGAAAAAAAATATCTCTTACCACTGTAAAAACACACCCTGTCCAGCTTTAGTTATATTAATTTTGACCAAGTGAATAACATTCATTATAATAATGATAGTATTGATGATAATGATGATAATCTCCATTAATGATGATAGTCTCCATTAATGATGATAATCTCCAATACTATAATATGTTTCTGGATACTTCTAGATGCTTCTGGATGCTTCCAGATGGTTCTTCTGGAAACTTCTGGATACTTCCTTTAATTATTAAAAAACTTCCGTGACGTTGACACGGACCAGACTTAAAAAAATAAAAAAAACAAAAAAGTTGCACTTGTTTTCCACTGCAACGCAACACGGTTCATCAAAAATTTTTCTCTTAGCATGCAATTGAGTACTCTTTGCTGTGCAAGTCTTTGATTATGACCACGCGTAATATACTTTGAGGACGAAGGACGATCGAATAATACGTAAAAGTTTATTTCATCAAATTCATGCATGAACTTGAACATCAGAATTAAATCCCCTTTTATTCTTTTTTCTTCAAGTGTCAAGACCTAATATGACTCTTCCCTGCTCGGCGGTGCGATGCTTAATCTCAAAAATGGTTTTTGTAGCAAGTTTTTGAACTTTTTCTAACGCTTCTATGTCTGTCCGTTAGAAAGGTGACAACGCTTGGATAGGTGAGGACAAACATACGTGGTGTACACTTCTTTCTACACTGAAAAACTACGGCTGCGCAATTTTTTTTTTTAGCCACTCTAAGGTATGGTTAACGTTTACCGTAGTTGCTAAAACTTGTGCATTTCATTTAAGATCATTTGAGATAAGAACTCCGAGAGTCTGAACTCCAAGATCTCTATCTAAATGAGCCACTTTAATTGCAAGTGGCAGGCCGTCTAATCCTGAAATGTAATAGTCTCGTTTTGACACCTTTTTTCTCGGCCAGTAGACATAAATTGTAACTAAGTAAGTATGCAAAAGTAACGTTGTTGAGGTCAACTTTTCCTGACCTCCCCCCTCCTCCTTGTCAAAAATTATCAAAAAATTTTAGACCCCCTCCCCCCAATTTTGTTGACGTAATTAATGGACAGCCCCTAAGATAAACTATTTTGTCATATTGTTACATTTTCACTATTTGAACGCCTTTGTTTAACTTCCGCAAATAACTTTTTCCGAATAGCAACGGTCTCACGAGAAAAGTCTTCGTTAATGAAAAAACTCGTGCCTTTTAGTCGATGAGATTCTTTTAAGATTCTTACTTTGTCTTTTTATTTCTCAAGTCAGGTCTCATTTCTCAAGGTCAAGTACTATTATCCTCAGTCGTCCATGTTTCTTCAATCCAGTGTGGTGGGCACGTTTAGTTTCGATATTTTTCAGTCTAAGTTTTTACTAGAAGAATGTGTGAACTTTTTCTTTAAAGTGGGGGGGGGGATGATTCTTGCCCATTTTCATCAATTCCATTGATTTGTAGATTATTTCTTCTTGATCTATCTTCCAGGTTTCGCTGCTTTTTCTTCATAAATTTTTCTATATTAGTATGTTCGAATTTTTTATCTAGTTGTTTATTGTTGTTAAAATTTTTTTTCTCAACTAGTTCTTCGTTGTAGTTTAGACTATACTTAATATCTTCCAATTTCTTTATAAGTTCTTTAACTTTGTTTGCATTCACGTTGATGTTTAACTCTGCTTTGTCTATTCTGCCGTTAATTATTTTTATATTAGCGCCAATAATATCAATAACAGTTTTCTCTTGCTTACGAAACGTTTCTTCAGTTTCTTTTTTGAATTCTCTAAACATTTCTTTTGAAATTTTTTTTATTTCAGTAAATGTTACTGCCATAGTATAGTATACGTGATAAAACAGAAAGTTTTTTTAGATTAAACTTGAATATTTTTTGAAATGTAAAGTAATCCAAATGTTTTTTTTTTTTTAATTCTCCTCGTGGTAAAATCGCGTACGCTCTTGTTGAATGCTTGCGTTGAAAAAGTTGAAAAATTATGCTGAAGTCGGCTGTAAAAAAAAAATGTTTAGAACTTTTTTAAAACGTTATAATAAACTCTCTGTAAAAATTGCTAAGCTAACGTTATTGAATTGGTTTAAATATAATAAGAATAGGGTAGATTAGGGTAATATGAGCACCTTGGCAATATGAGCATACTTAAAGATTTATTAGATGTAAGCAGTGAAGTTAAAGTTGCTTAGTGTTTTTCGAATCGACTCTATGTGGTGATAACAGAAATAAGTACAATTAGCGTAAACTTATATGCAGTAATTAGCGGACATCATCTAATAAAAACGTTTTTAAATTTTTAGCTTTGTTAAAATATTATTATCACGTGTGAATAATTCTGTGGCGCAAAATTTTGGTGCTAAAATAATGAAATTAATTTTTTCATAACAAAAATATATTAGCTAAAAATCCAATTTACTTTTGTTTAAAAAATAATGCAAAGAAACATTTATTTTTGACTTTATTTAAAGATGCCATTTTTGTGTAATAAAAACTAATATTTTTGTGTAAAAAAACCCAGTGTTTTTCATTGAAATTACTTAGTTTAAAGTCCTAAAATAGCAGTGGTTTTTAATTGCTTCTTGAATAAAAACAAAACATAGTAAAAAATTTTAATATTTTAACAATACTAAATATTTTTCTGTAACTTAAATTTAAAAAATTTGACTTATTATCGTACAAAGGTTTGAGTTAATAAATTTGAAAAAATAACGTATTAATTTTTTTTTTTTTTTTTTTGCGGAAATCATAGTAGTATTGTTTCAACAAAATGTAGCTTAAAATTTGATCTTTTAATGATAAGTCTTGTTAATCACGAATCCTTATATCTCAAAAATTAGTTCTATTAGTCAGGTTGGTCTTTTTTTACTTAATGCTATTTTTTTGAGCTAATTTAAAGTGCTCATATTACCGAGGGGTCTGGGTAATACAAGCACTTTTGCTACTTTTTTAAAACCTCTGTGTTTTTAAGAAAAAAAGTCGGGTGCCTAAATATCTAAATGAATCATAAGTAGATCCCTAAAAATTGTTTATTGCAAAAATTTTCGATCCAGCATATTTATTTTTGAAAATATTCCAATTTTCGCTTAAGGTGCTCATATTACCCTAATCTACCCTAACCGTTTTTAAAATGAACCGGAAAAATAGTTTTTAATGTCGATGGATTGCAAACTATTCCTACGTAAAACCTATTCAAGTAGACAAGTCTTGAGTTTTATATTTTATAAAAAAAAAATGATATGAAGGTAAAACAGAGTGTTAGTGCTTCAACAAGGTCTAAAAAAAGGTAAATTTATCATAATTGTTGTCAAGCTGCAGACAAGATAACAATAAACTGTTTATATTTTGGATCTTAAAATAAAATAAAATCTTAAAGTGCTATTAAAAAAGCTTGCTAACTAAATGTGATTATTACATCACTAGTTTTTCATATTTGTAATTGTAGTAGTAGCGACTTTTTATCTTTTTATCTTATAAATGTTCCAGGTATGTTGTATTAGTGACTTTTTATCTTTATTTTGTAAATGTTCCAGGTATGTTGTAGTAGTGACTTTTTATCTTCATTTTGTAAATGTTTCAAGTACTTTAAATTTTCTTGATTTTGAAAAGAACCTGGTGTTTATTTTAATTTGTCTTTTATTTAAAAAAAATGAACTTTTTTTATTTATTCCTCTCTAAGATTGTTTGTAATTTTTTAATATTTCTTTTAGATGCTTAGAAGTAATATTACAAATAAAAATCAAAACTAAATGAAGATAGTCTAACTCCTGCTGCAGAAGCAGTAATGAAGGACAGATTTCTAGTTAGATCTGCAGCTTGACAACTTAAGATTATCAGAACAACACTGTAAAGACAGAATCATTATTGTCAGAAAAATACTGAAAATACTGAGCTAAATTTAACCTATGTCATGTTTAGAAAGTATTCATTTGAGATAATACTTTTTTCTTTCTTTTTTTTTTTTTAAGACGAAGAAAAGACTCTAGTTGAGTACCTTGTTATTGCAAACAATATGCGTTATAGGCTGTCAAAACCAAAAAATATTAAACACTCTGAGATGAAAATAGCAATGGTATTCTGATTTTATGAAAAGAGATAATAAATTTCATTCATTAAGGAAGCCGTAAGCTACAGATTTAGCAAGAGCCACCAGTTTCAAAAAAGCAAAATTTTCTTTATTTTTTCAAAATATCTAGAAGTCTTCAAAATATATGTTTTGCCTGAATGCATTTTTAATGTGGACAAAACAGGTTCACGCATCAGTCTCCCCTAAAGGCAAGAAATAGAAACTAAAAAGCTTAACTTCTGGTTAACGAGGAATTAATATAACTATTGTTAACTGATAAATTGTGATTGCAATAGTAAATTTCATCCTTCGATGATGATTTTTTCAATAGTAAACTTCAAAAACCGAATGCTGAAAGAACTCTAGTAACTATGGGGACAGCACATATAAGTGGATGTTCAAATGCGGAAAATTTTCAGAGTTTTTATTACATTTTATTTGCTAGGTAAAATCTTCCGTGGATTACAACAATTATTACTATTGAATAACCATGAAATTCATGTCAGTATTGAAGCAACGACTTTGGCTAAAGAACAGAGTTTAATAATTCTCCTCCTTATAGTCATAAGCTTCAGCCATTAGACAGGGGTGCGTTTGAAACATTAAAGAAATACTACAACGCAGCTTGAAACAATTGGATGTTCTCTAACCCAGGAAAGTCAATCACTGTATATGACGTTACAGAAAAAATTGGCAAATCTTATCTTCTGGTTTTTACTTAAGAATTTGCCTCTAATATATATTGATGATATTCAAATAAAACAATCAAAATGGTTTGTTATGTTGCTATGGTTTTATGCTTTTTCCTAGAGTTTTTATTGATAAAAACCTTACATCGAAAAAACATATTAAAACCTTGCCTAACATCATAGGCAACAGAAGCACCTACCACGTCTAATAAACGTTATACTCATCGTTATACTCATGCCAAACATCTTTTATTCGAAATAAATATTCTTAATATATACCAACTAAATATTTTTGATGTTCTTTGCTTTATATTCAAAAAAATAAACTTAACTTTTATATCTTTTCAAAATTTATATGCAATAAAACCTAAAAACAAATATGATCTAAGATATGACAACTTTATTTATCAACATTATTTGCATACAAATTTTGGAAGACCTTTTATATCATTTCGCGGAACTTTTCTTTGGAACCAAATAGTTTTAAAAAGTTTTTATTTTTTTCAAAGATGGAATTTTCCGACTTTCAAAGTTCTGAAAAAATTCAAAGTAGGTAATATAATTGCGTTCTTTTGATCTCCTCCATTATAAGTGTTTCCAAAATGTAATTTAAAATATTTAACTATATACTTATTGTCAGGATTTGAAATAGGGAGTGAGTGGAAGTGTGTGACATCCGACCCCACTCCTTTCCTAAACATTAAATCCTAGTCGGAAAAAAATAATTTAAGTAACCTTTGTCGGCAATTCAAAAAGAATTTCTTTTAGAAATGATCTTTTATACATTATTTTTAGACATTAGTTTTTGCTATCAATAATAACGAATGGTTTAAAACCGTTTCAATTACAAAATGTTGGCCAGTATCTAACAACATTCTACAGGCACTTTAGTAAGTAAAATTGTGCAGAAGTTGAATAAAAGAATGATAAGAACAGATGATTGAAATACATTTAAATTTGGTTTGAAATAAAATAGAATCAGTCATAGATGTGGCTACATTGTCCTTTTTTGGTTTTATTTATTGGTTCATACAGCTCTTTTATCTGTTTTCTCAACAATTTTAATGAAGTGTCTGTACGTATTTATGTTAGAATAGTATTTTTTCTTACAATTCAAAGAAACATTTAAAAAAAAGTTTATCATTGATTATAAGTTTTTTACAATTATCTAAAATGAGATAAACTGCTAGAGCTGAATCAATAAAATCTGTGTTTTATTAGTATTATTTATAAATGCCGTAGAAACGTCATATGTAGAAACGTCAGCTGATCGATATTTACATAAAAATAATAAAATTCAAGCTTAAGGATTATCTAAAACTAAAGGATTATCTACAACTCAAGGATTATCTACAACTAAAGCTTTCGGATAATCTAAAACTCAAGGATTATCTACAACTCAAACTTTAGGATTATCTACAACTCAAAGATTATCTACAACTCAAGCTTTAGGATCTAAAAAGTGCTAATACTTGAATTTTTAGTATCTTTGTATTTTTTGAAAAGTACCATGTACAAAATGAAAATGACACTAAAGACCTTAACATAATTAATGCTCTTATTTTTGCTAAACAATTCAATTGAGATTTTTACAGTATTAATATCAACAACCTAGAAATGTTAGGAACAATGTTAACCGCACCCATAGGTATATCATCATAGGCTTTCGGAACCCATTAAAATGTGCGGGCTCCAAAATTTGTTGTTTTTTAAAGTGTTTTACTATTTTAAGTTTTATTTAAAGTTTTATTATAACCTAATAAACTCGTTTTTTATACTTAATTATTGTCAAAGGCATAAGAGCCATGGCTTTAAACTTGCCATGTCGACAAATGAAAATTTGACGTCATAAAAATTGATCATAAATTATTTCAGATACAAAATGTACGTTAACCGACAACAAACCTTGATGCTTTTTAATACTAACAAAGATACGTTGAACATAATTAATTTAAAAAGTGTTTTTAAAAATGGTCGTCAGTAAAACAACGGAGAATTAAGAATTAATTCTCCGCAGAGAGAGAAAAAAAAAGAGAAAATCAAAACCAGAGCTCAAGTTTAATAAATACCATAGTTATTTCTAAATCAAGAATGTTTAATAAATACCATAGTTATTTCTAAATCAAGAATGTTTAATAAATACCATAGTTATTTCTAAATCAAGAATGTTTAATAAATACCATAGTTATTTCTAAATCAAGAACGTTAGAAAACAACGTTTTCTGACGTTTTCTGATTTTTTTTTTGAACGTGATATTTTGCTGTTAAATTAAAAAACTTACATAAATTTATAAATAAAATTAATGGCTGGAGCAAGAAAAAGACATTATTTTTGTCTTATCGCCAAGCACTGTGTTACAATATATATTTTTTACAAAATTTTTTCCAAGATTATAAAGTATAAACTAAGAAACAAGAAAAATGTTTACAAAAATATATGATAAATGACAAGTTTTAACTGAGAACTTATTATTATTAAAAATAAAATATTAAGCTCAGTAAATAGAGGAAACGGCATTTATATCAACGAAGATAATGCAAAAGTAAAGGTTTTAGAAAGAAAAGGTGTTGGAAAAAAGTTAAACGGTTACACAATGAAGGTAAAGTTACAGTAATTAAATTTGGTCTCTCCAATAAAATAAATCTTTCTCTAAAATCTCTCCAATAAATTTGATCAACATAATAAGTTTTCAGCTTACAAGGAGAAAAGTTTGTAGTAAAACTTAAAATGTAAAATTTGTTAAATTGCCATCTGGAATCTTTATTGGAGTGAGATGGCTTACAATGTGATTTTTTGTTCTCAGTTCACAATGTGCTTTTTGTTCCCAGTCGAATCAAGTTTTAGAAACTTTTAAATACTTTGTTAAAAGTATTCTAAAGAAAAACACGCGTTGTAAAACACCTCAAACAAGTTCCGCCCGCAGAATAAGTTCCGCCCGCAGAATACGACCTATTAGAAATAATCCTACCCGTAATAACTTTTTTAAACATTAAAAAAAAACTCAAGTGTATAACACCACGTCAAGAACATTTAGAAAAAAACTATAGGTATTTAAAAATACAAGCTATGTATACAGTTTTATTTCCAGCCATTTTTAAATTTTTAAATTTTTATATTGAGTTGTTAGAGAGAGTGGAACCATCTCGCCCCATTCTCCATCTCGCCCCATTCTCCATCTCATTCCATTCTACTGCCGCCCTAAGTAAAAACGCAGTAAACAACAAAAATGACATTCTGAGAAAAAGCCACTTTTAAATTTTGTGTGTATATATTTTTTTAACTTACGGCAAAATGAACTATGGGTTTGATGACTTCGGAATATACCACAATATTTTTATATAGAGCGTTATTACACAGAAAACGATGTTAAAACGTTTGGTGCAATAATCTCGATTTTTCAATTTTTGCGATTACTGCGTTTTTTCTTAGGACGGCAGTCTACATCTCGCCCCATTCTCCATCTCACCTCATTCTCCATCTCACCCCATTCTCCATCTTTCTCTCTTGTCTTTTCCTATATCTATTTTTTAGAAATATGTTTACAGAAAAAAGTTTGGTTAAAGGAGATTGAGATTGCGTCAACGATTTATGATGTGAATAACTTCTAAACAAAGTATAAATTTGAACTAAATGTTTCACCAAACAAAAATTTGGTTTCTACTGAAAAACTAGGTTGTGTTTCAGATGTTGTTATTACAATTTAGGATGGGAAATGGTCTTTGAATTTCTCATCAAATAATTTCATCGATTATCTCATTAAATAATCTTAAAGATAAAAAATCTTGAACTTATTTAGAAATTGACATACAATTTTACTTTGAAAGAGCGTGCCACATTTTTCACCGGTTGGGACTCCTTTTTCCTATAAAGTTTCCTTATTAAGCAATATATATTTCATTGAGTGAAAAATATGGTTTGAAAAATTTTGAGAAAAACGATCTCAACGTCAATGTCACGCAAATAGGGAGTAATAAATTCAATGTATAGCAGCCGTATTCACATCCCTCCGTTAAACCCTGCGATGAGTTTTTTCTTAACGGACGCTCACATTCTCCGTTAGTTTAACGCAGAGATGCAAACACGACTGCAGATTTTATTCCATGCAGATCTAAAGTTATTTATGATTTTAAATTTTTCAAATTGGTTTTTTTAATGAACTTTCTAAATTTATTGCATCATTGAGCCGAAATTACTATACGATGTAGTTTCGTCATTTATGAGCATTTCATAGTGTTATCAGTACATAAAAGTTTAGAAGTCTAAAATGTTTTTTGTTTTTTATTTTATATAATAAATATATCTACAGGGCATCGATACGCACCATTTATTTGCGTTACAAAAGCAAAGATTGTTTATAAATAACAAAATAGCTTAATATGACGAAACTACTCTACTTTACCGTATAATTGATAATAACTTTCTATTTTTAACAAAACGAATGGGGAAATAATAATTTGAAACCGGAAAATAAAAAAAATATTTATTTTAACTAAAATTTTTTAAAAAGCTTTTTAAAAAGTTTTTTAAAATGGTTTGTTTTCCAAACTCATTACCCTCTCACCAACCCACTTTTTTTTTTGTCCGCCACGGTTGCATTAATCTTTGAATGATTTTATGAATTTAAAATTTTTAAAATAAAAAATTACAACAATGCAATTTTATAAAATTAAAAGAAGCTGTAATTAAGCTCTTAAAAAAAAAGCCTGCTGTAATAAATAGACAGCAATTAGTACATTTCGTTATTGATAATATAAAACTTGAATGATTTTAATACCTATTGTATATAGAGTTAAATTTTCTCATCAAGGCAACTAAAAAAAAGGCATTATTTTTTTTAAACAAAGCTTTTTTAGATAAAAAATTTGTTAAACGGAATGTTTTAGAATAAATTAAATGGTTATGATATGACTCAAATATTTTAAAATTAAACTTATATATAAATAATAATTAACTTATATATATATATATATATAAATTTTCTCGGCAATTTTTACTTTGGGTTTTTCATCATAATCTGATATATTAGATTATCTTGGAGAATGAACGCAAACATTGATGACTTGCTTATGAGGTGTTCGCTCAATAAACTTATTAAAATTGTTGAGTTTCAAAAAGATGTTTTAACGCAGCAAACACATTACAAAAATATTTTGAACCGATATGAAGCCCTTTTTATAAGTGTAATTAATGAAGAAAAACGAAAAAACACTAATGTAAATAGCCACGTCACAACGAGAAACAGTGGACTAGATCGAATCCTGTTAAATTCATTTAAAAATAAGGAAGAAAACAAATTTTGTTCTGACAAAATTAGATATAGTAATGAAAACTTGAACAAAGAAGAACTTGTTAAAGAAGATCTTTCTTTTAAAATAACAAAATCGTGCTTTAACAAACAGGATTTCAATAGACCCTGCAACATGTTTAAAGAAAGTATGGTACAATTATGGGAGCGTATTCATTATGATTTTTCATACAAACGTTTTTTAGATAATAATTTTCCAAAAAGAAGTTTATCGTTAGATTCAGAGTCGAATCTTTCAAAAAAGACATTTTATGAAAGTAATTTTTTAGACCATGATTTTTCAGAAAGCTGCATATCAGAACACAGTATTTTTAATCGTTGTTTTGAATACGACTTAAATGTTGTAATCGATATAACAGAAAGTTTTTTATCAGACAGTGGTTTTTTAAGAAAAGAAATTTTTAACGAAGAAAAAAAAACTAAGTTCTACGAACAGGCAATTGCAAACGAAAAAAATCTTATTCAAGAAATTGAATTTAAACTTCTTAAAAAACACAAAGAAAAGTCAAACGTACTAAATTCTTTAAATGAATTATCTTCTAACTTAAATGAAATAAATTTGCTTACAACTGATGACAAATTGTGCACCGACGTTATTAGCATTGAAAAAATATTATTTGAGATAAATGAACTTTTTAATTATCCAATTTTACAAAACTTAGATACCACGACCAAACGTATCTTTTTCGAATTAAAAAGTTTAGAATCTTCTTTAATAAACGAATTATCGTTACAAATCTGTGTACAAGAAATAGCAACTAGTAACCCAACATTTTGCGAAAATACAAATTTTCAGTCAAAACAAATAAGTTCATACGGCGTAAATCAACTCTTTTGCAACACTCCTACAAATGAAATAAATAATCTTGAAAAATATTGGACGTCTGATCTTGGTTACTTTGATTTTTCTTATTATACAAAAACAGAAATAAAGAAAAATACTTTTTCACGTGATAGTGCTATTGATGACAATGTTACACCCGAGAACTTTAACCAAGATAACAACGTTACACCCGAGAACATTAACCAAGATAACAATGTTACACCCGAAAACTTTAACCACGATGACCTCAACATTTTACACGTTAATTTTAGTGATAACCAAAGCAATAACCAAGGGAATAAATATAATACTTTTGACAAAAATGTTATTAATGATAAAAAGGTACCATTTACTAAATTATCAAACGACAAGCTGGAAAATTATAACAACAGAGCAAACTTAGAAAACAACGACAGGCTGGAAAATTATAAGAATAGAGCAAACTTAGAAAACAACAGAAAAGTAATTAAATCAGTGCTAAAGTATTTTCCACAATCAAAAGATAATTTATTTGGTGAAATCAATCCACACTATTCACCTTTTTGGAGTGTTATTCCAAAAAACACGTAATATCTTTATTTAATAATTGAAGGAAATGTTATATATTTATGGCAGATGTTGTAAATTTATGAAAAATAATGTAATATTTATACCAAAAAAAGTAAAAATTGTAAATTAAAGTGTTTATTTAAATGTTTAAGTAGTGCCCAACTAAAAATCGTTAAAAAAGGTAAGCAGTTAAGACTACATCATCACCTCATCATTATCATTATCATTGCTATCCTCATCATCATCATCATTATCATCATCATCATTATCATCATCATCATCATCATTGTCATCATCTTCGTTATCATCATCACTATCGTTATCGTCACTTTTTTTTTTTTTTTTTTTCATTTTCTTTTTTTTTCTTTACTATCATTATTATTTTTTCATTTGACTGAAAATAATTATTTTTATTATTAATAACCAGAGAAATAAATAATATTTTTTATCTTCTTATACTATATAATTTTACTTTTCCTCACAGTATTAGCAAAAAAAGGTTAATACATTCTACTGACACATACTATCGACAATGAATCATAAAACGCTGCTGATACCAGTAGGTATTTATACCAGTATATTAATTTTTTTCTGGTTATTGAGTTGTTTTTTAAATGACCAAACGGCCTTACCACAGAATACCGTGAAAGAGCATTTCCTGAGAAATTTTACGCCACCATCTTTTCTAATGGCAGTTTATTGTTGTTAGAAGTTCTGTTAAGGAGTACTGTAAAGGATTTGGAAAATTTGAAGATTTGAGGAGCTGTTAGAGTTAGTTTTTAATCTTTTATAATATATAATCTATCTACACCTTTTCTGGATCAATTTAAAAGGAATACGAATCAATTTAAAAGGAATACGAATCAATTTAAAAGGAATACGAATCAATTTAAAAGAAATACGAATCAATTTAAAAGAAATACGAATCAATTTAAAAGAAATACGAATCAATTTAAAAGAAATACGAATCAATTTAAAAGAAATACGAACCAATTTAAAAGTACTTTCTTGTAACAGATGCTTTCGAACTACCTCAACTTTACAATAAGGTTTTACATAACAAGAACTATGAAACAGTATATAAAAATCAACAATCCAGAATGTATGAGATCTTTAAAATATATCTCTGCCTTATTGTCCAGGGAGCATGTTTTTCAGTGCTATGATATCCGCGTAGAAAGTTTGCACATGGTTCACAAACTGGAGGCACATGAGAGGTGTAATTTTGAGGCGCGCTTCGTCAATAAGATCCTCCACATATTGAAGACGCCACTCGGACTGTATGAGACCATTGTGATTCCCTGCAATGACTTGCTGAATAGTAGCCGCTTCTCTCTTCTTCAGTTCCGACTTAATAACAGACCACGCAGCCTCGATGGGGTTAAGTATCGGAGAATATGGGGCTAAACGGAGGATTGTAGCACCCTGGAACTCCATTACGGCCTCGTTGGCTCTCGCGTGACATGGAGCGTTGTCGATCACCACAACGATATTCGTAGAAGGAATGCCTTGTGCCACAATTCCCTGAAGCAGCTGCTTGAGCCAATCATTGCATTGAGCCATCTTGTAATTCCCTCGACGACACGTGAAGTTCATCAAACCCATTTGTGTGAGGGCCCCTATCATGTGCACATTGGCACCTTTACTGGAAGGCAATCTCACCACAGCTCTATTTCCCACCTTGGCTCGTCCATGAGTACGTCGTATATAAAGGTTTACATTGCTCTTATCCACGTACGCTATAAATTTTCCAATGCCCGTAGCCTGCATAAGTTTCTCAAGGAACTCGCGACGAAGGAGTTTGTTGGTTAGCGAATTAGCAGCATCTGGTTGCAGATGAATTTGTTTTAGCGAGAAAAGCATGCGGCTATTCAAATCTTCAGCTATGGTCTGGGACGCCACATTCACAGCAAAGTCTGCGAGCAACTTGGCGGTCATTTCTTTTAACGTCAGCTGAGGATTTTCTTCGAGCATGTGGATGAGAGCTTCTTCGTGGTGAGCTTCAATCTTGACACGCTGTTGAACCCTGCCGTCTCGATGTTTCTGGATCCAGGTGCCCTTCTTCACCCACGCGTACGCTGTAGACTGGTTGACTCCATTGGCTACCGCCACCGATATCCAGTCGTCTCCGTTTTCGGCAGCTGCAATGACTCGACGGCGAACTGTTGGCGTTGATTTCTCATATTTGCCCCTCTTGGTCCCCTTCTTAACACCCTTTCTTGAAATTGGCACTTGACTTACATCGCCAGTTGATTCTGCATCATTTGTGGAAGTGTCATTATTGTTGTCACGCAAGAGGTTCATCCAATAGCCACTCGATGAAGTCATTCTGAATGTGAGAAAAAAAAACATTTTTTTAAAGAGCGCTCTTTCAATCCTAACACCGTCTGAAAAAGATCCCTTATTTACGATTTTGGAAAATTCGCAAACATACCCTTGTTATTTCATCCCCTGGCAAGCATTAAATTTATTTTGTCCTTAGCAAGTATCAAGTTTAGCAAGCATGTAGGGCACAATGTTGGTATGAGTCATAAAAATAATTCACCGGGATAGTGAGACTTGCAAATGCAGTCACTACTGTATACCTGGGGTAATTTATGCTTAATTAATCTAAAATGCCTCACACAAAAATTCTTGTAAATTTTTAAAAATCCTTTTATTTAAGTATAGGATAACATTTCTGTAAAAGAATCCATGATTCCTAAATTCTAAACACTTTAAAAATACTCTAAATTTTAAGCTTTTAAATGCCTTATGGTAGGTGTACAGGCAGGCTATGAATTGCTTCCTGGTAAGTATCAATTTAATGTTGGTATGAATCATAAAAATTATTCTGTTTTAACATAAATTCACAAAATGACGGATATTAAAATCAAACATAAATTCACAAAAGTTAATGTATATTCTCCGCATAAAAATAAATTCCCACTATGAAGGATATTAAATTCAAACACCCACCTGAAAGCGCTTGGTGAAGATTTGTATTCTTTGCAATGTCGTCACTTCCACCACCGGTCAACTTTAAACAAATAAGTATACTGTATATTTTCGTTGAAAATAAATTTTTATGCATTCATTTTAAAATTATTTTTATTTCTTTTAAATTGATTAGTATTTCTTTTAAATTGATTCGTATTTCTTTTAAATTGATCCAGAAAAGGTGTAGTATTATTAGTTCATCGAAACATGTAAGAAATTTCATTGGCGCATGCAAGTAAAATTATCTGAGTAAGTCAAATTATCGTGTAATTTAAAATAACGCTTTTACGCTAAGAAGTGAAATTACTAATCTGATCGCAGTTAGGGGAGAGTCGGGTAATGGCGAACGCGGGGTAACTCCGAACAAGGCCGTTACGGCGTGTTAGGAAAGGATAGTTGACTAACTTTTTTTTTCTGGTGAGAGTGGGTTACATGCTCAGTTCCAGACGTGCAATAGTGTAGTATAGATGCGCAAGTTGTTCACGATAGATTGATTCTAAGTTTTTCTCTTAGTTTCATGTAATTTTTACTTGCGACACATTTATGTATTGGATATACTATGTATATAAAACCGCAAATTTTTTTATGTTGTTGCAAAGTATCATAATCATGAAGTTTCTTACACTTTTAATATTTAGGGTATGTTAATACTCCTCCAATATATTCCTTTAATTTCATTTGTTTGGGTCGCGGGGAAATAACGAACGATCTTAGTAGGGTAATCACGCTTATTATTTTCTCAAAGTATTCTAGCGTATCTGATAACACACGGACGTTTCCTATATCAATGTTAAAAATTCGATTTTGAACCAAGTAAATATATATATATATATATATATATATATATATATATATATATATATATATATATATATATATATATATATATATATATATATATATATATATATATATATATATATATGTATATATATATACATATATATATATATATATATATATATATATATATATATACATATACATATAAATTATATGTATTATATATATATATATATATATATATATATATATATATATATATATATATGTATATATATATAATATTTATATATATATTTTATATATATATATATATATATACATTCATATATATATATACATATTATATATATGTATATATATATATATATATATATATATATATATATATATATATATATATATATATATATATATATATATATATATAATAATATATATATATATATTTAAATATATATATATATATATATATATATATAATATTTATATATATATTTTATATATATATACATTCATATATATATATATATACAAATTATATATATATATATATATATATATTAATATATATATATATATATATATATATAAATATATATATATATATATATATATATAGGTACCCTCGTATGCGTCCGATTTTTTATTTTGACATCGCTTTTATAAAGTTTCTGGATTTCCGTGTTTTTTCAAACTACGCTATATGCATAGAGGAAAGAGTGTTTAAAAGCTAGCTAAAAAATAAACTGTAAATTTTTATTATATTTTTTCGTTTAAAGTGAAGGTTAAACTTGTTTATAGTTATACAATTTTTAAAAAATTGCGATTTTTTCACTGTTAAGGAATCCTGCCAAAATAGGTAATTTTCATATAAAGAATTTAATATACCAATACAAATGCTCATAAATGATTTTGACATGCTCAAATAAATTCTTCATAGATCTTTCATTTGATATATAATCACCGATACTTTAAAATCTCCTTCATGTTTAAAAAAGATGCATACAGTTGCTACCGCAAAATAATGTATTGTTTATAGCGCCATTTTTTAAAATTATTTTCATTGTTGCTTTGTATTTTTCTTTCCTTTAGATGGACCACAAGACTGCAAAAGATATTTGCGTTTTAATTAATTCATATAAATGCCAATCGAAGCCTTTGTTAAATGGTGACATTTACAAAATTTTTTCTGAAAATAATTTCAAATTATCAAAAACTCGTCTGAAATTAAAAAAACTGAACATTGGATCTCAAAATGCATCTGATTTTAAAATATTCTCCAACAATATAAGATACTTGCATAAAAAGATAAAAATCTTTAAAAAAAACCCTACCCAGTCATGGGCTGCTATTGTTAATTTTTTGCAGCAACCATTTAAATATGAAAGAAAAAGAAATAGTTCTAATACAAATATTCACTTTAACGTTGCAAGTGATTTAAATATTGCTTCAGACACAATGCAGAGAGTAAAGTGTGGTTCATGCAAAATAAAAAAAGATGAAATACGTAGTTTACAAGAAAAAAACAGAAAACTGCAGCAGAGAGTTCGTTTTTTGAAAAAATCAATGACCTGTAACAAGCTTACAAACAAAAAAATTTAAAAGACAGTATTTTTCACTAAATTTGTGGAAATTGAAATATTCAAAAGAAAAAAAAAAAAAAAAACAGTTCAACAGAATAAGTTTCATTCTCTAGATTTCATTAATGAATTGAGAATTCTTAAAATTAGTAGAACAAAGTTGCAACAAAATGTTAAAAAGATAGAAAAGAAACACAAAATTGCGATCAAAGAGTTACAGGAACAGATAAAAATCAAAGAGCAAGAAAAGAAACAACTTGTAGAACAAAATCATTATTTAACTAGTATTGTTTTAGAAAAAAAAAAAGATAATAGGTTACTTATAGAAACCAAAAAATTAAAAACATATGACCTACCCATAAGAAAATGTGTTTATGCTGCTATTATTAACAATGTGCCTGTGGAAAGTATCTCATTTTTGTTAGAAAAAATTTCTGAACTGTTACACAACACAGAACTGCAAAAAACACCTCACTCATCCACAGTAAATCGAATGGCATATGAGCCAGGTGTTTTAGCATTGGTTCAGGCTGGTGAGGCACTTTTTCATTGTGAATGTGCAACAGTAGTGTTTGATGCAACCACCGTTTTAGACAAACATGTAAATGAGTTCCTTATCAGTACCTATCCTCCGCAGAGATGTTATTCCTTATCAACCGCTAAACTTGCTGGAGGCACAGGATTTGACTGTGCCACTCATATTGTCAGTGTAATAAAAGAACTTGCCAATACATTTGCAGGGTTTAAAAATATGCCAGCAGTAGAAGTTTTAGATGTTTTCACTCAAAAAATTAAAAGTTGTCTGTCAGACAGAGCACCTGTTAATAGTTGTGTGAAAAACATGCTTCAGGAGGAGATGGACATTCAATTAATGCAACTGTACTGCAATGTTCATCCATTGGAAACTATTACCTTAAAAGCATTATTAGCTCTTAAAACAATAGATAATGAGTTGAATATAAAACCAGCTAAAGGAACTGATGGGGTTGCAGTAACAGTCCTCAAAAATATTTCTAAGCTAAGGTAATCTTTTATATGTATATCTTTCATTATTTAATTTTTTTTTTAGCTTTATTTTCTTGTGAGCAATTATTTCTTTATTATTTCCACGTTTTGAAAATTTGAAATTTTAATTTTTTTGCTCTTCAAAAATCAGGTATAGTTTTAAAGGCGATCCTGCAGCATTCAAAAGCTATCTTAAAAAAAACAATGTTGCTCCAGGGCTATTCCTTAGATATGTTGGTAGTAGATTTCATGTTTTGTTCCATATGGCAGGGATTGTTGTTACATACGAAAGACTTATAAAAATCTTTCTTGAAAAGTAAGTTTTTTTTAGATGAATATTTGTTTTAATAGAATTCTATGTATTAACATTTTCTCGTTATTCTAGCAACACCAAAAATAAAAATTGCCAACTCTTACTTCAAGATATGAGTAATGATATAACGCTTGTGCAACTGCAAGGGTTGGGCCTGATAGGAAAAATAATAACTGGGCCATGGATGAGTCTGGTTTATAAAAATGCAACAAGAAAAACTAATCTTGAGTTTGTAAGTTTTTAAGGTTTTCTAATAAACAAATAAAGTAGTTTAAAAAATGTACAAAAATTATTTTTTTATTAGGGTGACATTTTCCAGAAAGCAATAAGGAAATTAGCTTACTTCAAAAGTAATCCAGAATCAATTCTTTATAAAGATGTGGATATTTTTAGTCAAGTATTAAATATCAAAAAAAATAAGGTACACCAATCCCTTTGTGTAATAAAAAATAAAAATATTTTGGTAAAGATTTTATCAGCTTTGATAAGCTACACAGAAACAGTTCTCAAAAGGCAGATGGCCAGGTATTTGACTGGCAATCTCTCAAATCCATCTAAAGAAATGATAAAAACCACACTATCTGCTCCACCTCATACAATGGAGGCTGAAAGGATCTTGGGCATGCTTGATTTTTTTTTTGCATCGTGCTCCTAATGCTACTTTTGGTTTTCTGGATTCAAAAATAAAAGCCAGGGTAAACAAAACATTAACATGGCTTGATGAGAAAACATTGCCAGAACAAGAAGATCTTATTCAATTTGTAATTCGCAGAGGAGCTTTAATGTGCCAAGCCTCTAAAAATTTTAATAATCTTTTGTATGAAGAAATAGGAAAAAGATGCGCCAAAGCTAATTTAAAAAAAGAGCGTCTGGAAAGAAAGCAACTAGAGAAGGATATTAAAAGAGCAATAGCTGAAAATGCCAAAACCACAAATCCTCTTTTTGTTAATATTGATGAAAAACAAAAACGAATTTTAGGAGTAATTTTGAAAAATGGAAACCTGATAGGGCAGCTCTTAAGCCATAAATGGGAGCTAGATGATGGTAATATACATTTATTTTTTGGTAGAATTGTTGATCAAGCTGAAGATATTGACATAAGCCAGGAAGGAGTTATAGCAGATCTAATACTTAAAGACTTGGAGTTCATTTAAAAATTACTATAATATATTAGGCATTATTATCTTTTATTTTGTTTATGTTGATTATTTTGTATAAATTTTTATTTATTCCTTTTAGTTTTTAAATATTTTTATATTAACCAAGAGCAGACACAGGGTTATTTTACATTTCAGATAGTGTACTTGGCATTGTGAAAACTTTAAGTATAAGTATGTTCAATCATATGTCAAATAAGATTGATTTGCTAAAAAATTGTGGTAATTAAAACTTAGGAACAAAACTATCTAAAAAAGATAGAACCCCCCTATCTCAAATGTTAATTTAATGAGTAAATAAGTTTTTAAGTTTATTATCCAAAACTAAATTTAAATTCACATTTTTTAATGCTCAAAGGTTATGGCCATGTGAAATAACTTAAAAAAAATAACTTTAAACATATCAAAAATTATTGGGTCTGTTGATAGATTTAAATGTAGTATAAAATAATAAGTAAAAATATTTTAATAACTTGGTCCCCTCACATTTTTATGTGGGGTACAAACTTTTTGGGGTATTTTTGTTCCTAGGCTCCAATCACTTCAATTTTTTATACAATTTTTTTTCACATTCTCATTAGATTTAAGCATGAACAAACTTAAATTTAGATTAGTTATGGTAATTTTTTTAATAAAATGACTAGAATCGAATTTGACCCCCTTTTAAAATGGGCTTAGACACCCCCCCTATCTTTTTTTTTTTTTAAATTTAATTTATATAAGTGGGATATAATAAACAGTTTTTATCATATATGTGACAGTAAATTGTTAATATTTTATGAACTATGTTATAAAGTCCACTTTTTGAAGTCATTTTCTTGTGTATCTTTGTTAAGATGTCCACTTTATTTTCTCTACCTTCAAAATTGAATATCTTTTTGTAAAGTTGACCCCAGATAATAAATTTGGTATAAAAATTTGTCATTTAATATTCTCTATATAATAGAATTAATTTGGTTTAAAAAATAAAAGTTTAAATTTTTTATGAAGGTACCTATATATATATATATATATTATATTTATACATATATATATATAAAATATATATGTATATATATATATATATATATATTTATATATATATATATATGCATTTATATATATACATATACATATAAATTATATGTATTATATATATATATATATATATATATATATATATATATATATACATATAAATTATATGTATTATATATATATATATATATATATATATATAATATGTATATATATATATATAAAATATATATATATATATATATTATATATATATATATATACATTTATATATATATATTATATATATATATATACATATATATATATATATATATATATATATATATATATATATATATATATGTATATATATATATATATATATATATAAAATATATATATATATATTATATATATATATACATTTATATATATATATATATATATATATATATATATATATATATATATATATATATATATATATATATATATAAATATATATAATATATATATATATATATATATATATATATATATATGCATTTTAATTATGTAAATAAAGCCAAAAAAAACTAAAAAGCTTCTCAACATGTTTAGTGGATTTGTTTTAAATTGTATCGGACCAATGCTAGATATCAGTAGTACACATAAATGTATGTTATTTTAATTTCTTTTTCATTTTAGATGCCACGAAACTATAATAGAAAAACTGAAATAAAATATAGGCTAGAGGATTTAAAAAAGGCCATAAAAGACGTGAAAAATAAAACTTTTTCATTAAGTCAAGCCTCTTTAGCTTATTCGGTGCCTAAAACCACATTATTTGACTATTGCAAGAAAGAATTCATAACACAACCAAGAGGTGGAAGAAAATGTATATTCTCAGATGCACAAGAAAAAGAGTTAAAAGAATATATTGTCAAATGTAGCCAGGTTTTTTATGGGTTAACAATTGAAATGGTGCGTAAAATTGCTTTCAAATTTGCTGAACAAAATAAGTTGACCCATAAATTTAATAGGAAAACCCAATTGGCAGGTAAAGACTGGTATTATTCTTTCATAAAAAGACATTCAAATATTTCATTGAGAAAACCTGAGCCCACTTCATTAAACAGAATAAATGGATTTAATGCAACAGAAGTAAAAATGTTTTTTGAAAATCTGGAAACTTTACAAAAAACTTATCACTTTGACCCTAATCATATATATAATGTTGATGAGACCGGTATTTCTAATGTTCAACGAAATTCCAAAATCTTAGCCCTTAAGGGCCAGAAACAAGTTGGGATGGCAACCAGTGCGGAAAGAGGTTCAACAACTACAGTTGTTTGTGCATTCAGTGCTTCAGGAAAGTATATTCCTCCATTTTTTGTATTTAAAAGAAAACGCATGAAAAATCAGTTGTTGCGAGGAGGCAATGCTGATATGCTTGCTACGGTCAGTGACTCAGGTTGGATCAATGAAAATTTATTTGTGGACTGGCTTAATCACTTTATCTCATTTGCTAAACCAACCAAAGACGAACCTGTGTTATTAATCCTAGATAACCATGAGAGCCATATTAGCCTTGATTGCTATCTACTCTGTCGTGGAAATGGAATTGTATTGTTATCCCTTCCACCACACACTTCCCATAGAATGCAACCATTAGATTTAACATACTTTGGTCCACTCAAATCTGCATACAACAGGGAATGTGACATTTTTATGGCAGCAAACATAGGCCGAAGAATTACTCAATATGAAGTTGTTGAGCTATTTACAAAACCTTTTAATCGTCTCAGCAATATTGAAAAAGCAGCCAATGGATTTCGAGCAGCTGGTATTTATCCATTAGATCACACAAAATTTAATGATTTTTTTCCAATCAGTATCGTTACACATGAAACGTCATTACTTGATAACATTCAGAGTTCAGAATCAGTTCAGAGTTCAGATACTCAAGCCAAATCATCTGAAGTGTTAGTTAACCTATCATTGAATCCTTCTAGTGTAGGTCTGTCACCTGATGTGAATATAGCCCCTGAACTGGTACTAAATAGATCAAATCAATCAATATCTCTTTTAAATATTGTCTCTGTACCTAATTTGCCAAAAAGAAAAACCAGAGAAAGTCTAAGAAAAAAACATTCTACTATTATCACTAGTTCTCCAATGAAAGATTTTTTAGAGGACAAGCAGCAAAAGAAAAGTATGAAGGAACAAGAAGTAAAACAGACTGCTGGTAAAAAAAAGAAGGGAGGGAGCAACTTTAATAACTTTGAGGCTAATGATGTACCAAAGAAGAAAAAAATAACGAGAGATGATAAAAAAAATGATTGTTATTGTTTAATTTGTGAAGAAAAGTATCATGATCCACCCACGGAAGACTGGATAAAATGTTATAAATGTAAGTCTTGGTACCACGAGAAGTGCACAAGTTGTGCAAGTACATCAAGAGGTTTTCTCTGTGATTTTTGCTATGAATAACATTTATTGATTTTTTAAATTTTGTTAATGTAACATTTTATTTATATTGAATAACGTTTATTGATACTTGATTCTTTAACGTTTGATTTGTTTAAAATTTGATTCAATAATATTTCAACCCTTCAATTAAGTTTGATTTGCTTTGATCAACATTTTATTCGCTATTACCCAACAGTGTTTGTGATTACCCCACGGTATGTTCGGAATTACCCCACGTGCGTAGGGTAATTCCGAACACCAAAGGTTTTGTTTTTGACCGAATTTTTTATTTTATAATAAGATATATGAAAATTGCTTTCGAGTGCTTCTAACCGAATGGTTAGACTAACTGATAAGCTATAAATATCATCAATATATAGTAATAGTTGTCTTTAATTCGCTTTCCCGCTTAACTGTTCGCCAATACCCCACTCTCCCCTACTCACAAGCAAATAACGAATATTTAAAATTTTGATAGCGTAACGACGTTACGCTATCAAAATTTTAAATATTCGTTAAATTAATCAACAACGCTATTACTATAGTAATAGCGTTGTTGATTAATTTTGATAGTGTTACAAATACTGTTACAAGGAAAATAGAAACACCTTTACAAGATGAAATAATTAGCGCTTTTACTGTCATTGTTACCATCATTGTTGCCATCACTGTTACCAAAAAAGTAGTTTAAATAACATTTTTATAATTGAAGTTTAATTAAAGAACAATGCCTAACTTATAAAGATGAGGGAAAAATACCAAAAATTCATTTTTTATTCAAAACAGGAGCAATTTGTTAACTTTTTCAAAACTTTAACTTTTAAAAAACTGAATTATCAAAACCATTTTTTTTTTTCAAATTAAATTATACATCCAAATAATTACTGTAAAAAATAGCGTGAAAGTTTTACATGAATAAAAAGTCATAAAAAAAAAAGTTTGTTAAACGAGTCTTAAAAAACTCTATTTCTTTAGTGTATTTTTAAATACATTCCGTTTTTAATTAGTTTTTAAAGAAACTTGCTTTGTATAGGGCAGAGAGTAAATTTTTTATACATTTACAAAAACAAATAAATTAACTAATAAATTACTTCATACGTTGCACAACATTCCGATTTAAAATTTTCACCACAAAACTTTATGAAAACATCATATCAATTTTAAACAGCCACCCTTATATACTTCATTATTAAAAAAAATGCCGAATTAAATATATTATACAGAAAAATGCTAACCTAAAATTTTAAGGAGACAGGCAACCTTCCATTGTTCCACATTGACTCCCCCCTCCTCCTTTCAAATTCGCTTTTGTAGTGAGTACACTGAATCATATAAAGAAGCAAAAAAAAAAAGGCTTAAATTAATACGGCAAAAATTCTTCTAGAATTAGGTTAAAAAAATCTATATTTTAAAGTTGTAAATGAATGAATGAATGAACGAATTTTAAAGTTGTAAATGAAAGAATGAACGACTTTTGAAGTTATAAATAAATGACTGAACCAATAAGAAATAAGCAACTAAAGTGCAAATACTCCATTAAAAATTCTGTTTTTAATACAAAATAAATTTGAAATACTTTTGATTTCACAATATTTCTAAAAAGATATTTATTTTGATTAATTTTATACATAAATAAATTTTTAAACATTGCGTAATATTAATAACAATACTAGTATTACTAAGTACTAAGCTATTGTATTGTTTTTTTAATTTTATATTTCATGTTTATTTAATTTTAAATGTACTTAATATTCACGAACGGTTCTCGATGATAAGACCTGAAGGTTTTCTGCGAGTCTCCGCGTACTTATTTTTGTTTTTATTTTTATAACTGTATACTTGGTTATATTTTTTTATTGTATAACGATTTTTATTTTAGTTATCTTATTGTATAAATTTATTAAATATTTAGGAAAAGAACAAAATTAAAAAAAATATATTAATAAAATAACATAAGTAAATATTATATAATATTAATAACAATACCAATATTAATAAAACAACATCAGTATAAATATGTATTATTTTAATTGTTAAATGCTTAATATCGCTTACTTATAAAAAAGAATTTCGATACAACAAAATACATTTATTATGGTTAAATGTAATCAAATATAAATGAGATACCTAAGCAATATATACTGAATGTGGATTTCTTCATTTTATTTAAATTAAGAAAAATTCAATTATCTATGATGCTTCTTAATTCAATACGGACGTATCGAAGCAAGGAAATGTTGGTTTGTAAACTTTTCATTTGTCGATAAATGATAATGCAAATGTTTTTTGTTTGTTTTTGTTTTACCTAATGACAATATCTTTATTGCTATTTACTTGACGCTGAAGAAATCAAAATAAATTCTTACTCTTTCATATGAATTATATTTTTTAAACAATTTAGTTGCAAAACCAACGATTAAAAAGTAAAACCTTATTCGAGTTAGTCTTAGTACTTCTTTACAAACTTATTTTTCAACACATTTGTTTAAAAAAATATTTTTTAAGTGGTAATAATTAAAACGTGCATGACGAAATTTTCTTGTTTTTGAGATTAATTAAAGTAAACGTGAAAACTTAAGTTTAAAGTTTAGTAATCAATAGTATAACGTAAAAAATATAATTTATATTAAAATATAGTATTATTATTCCCAGTGGGCACCGGACCGAAAACAGACGTTCAAAAGACGTCCAAAACGTTCAAAAGACGTCCAAAACGTGTATAAAAACGTTTAAAAGAAATTTAATAAAGGTTTTTATAATAAAAATTAGTGAGAATTTTACTAGTTTCCTTAGCTAATTTAGAATGAAAACTTAAAATACATTTTGAAAATGTTATTAATCTTAAAAATAAAATCAAAATTTATTTATCAAAAGTAGGAAATGAACCTGAAGCAAAAGATGAAATATACAAAAATAGTATATATCTAAAAAAGTATAAACAATTATCAATGTTGTGGTAAAACTTGGTATCAAAAATAAAGGTTTTAAATTCAAGAAGTATACAAAGTGACTACAGCTAACCGCAAAAATGATCACGTGGTCTGTTAGGGATAAATGATGTGATACTACAGTTCTATATAGTTATAGTAATAAATAAAAAAATTTATAATGCTAAAATTAAATCATCTCAATTTATTAACGGTGGTTTTAAGGATTGGCAATTCATTGTCAACATTAACAATCACAAAAACAGTTAGCTTCATCAAGATGGTAGCATATTTAACCATTAAATAGCGTAAAGAATTATTACATTTAATTGATAGGCAAATAAAGAAGAACTCTATTGTAAAATGGGCTATCATGAAAACAAAGAGAAACACCTCATCAAACTGGAAAAGTTTATTCAATAATTATAAACAAAGGCGTTGTTTTAACCTAACCATTAAATAGCGTAAAGAATTATTACATTTAATTGATAGCCAAATAAAGAAGAATTCTATTGTAAAATGGGCTATCATAAAAACAAAGAGAAACACCTCATCAAACTGGAAAGGTTTATTCAATAATTATAAACAAAGGCGTTGTTTTAACCTATCTATCAATCCAACTATTTATAATCAAACACCAGATCTATCAGTTATGTTGTTGTGCGGTACCTTATAACCTTATACCTTATAAGGGGTCAATCAATAAAGATTTTTAGATGTTGTTAGAACTGAAAACCAGGAAAAACATTGTCCCGCCATGTTAATAAATACTTGCACAAAGTTTGAAAAATAAATATGGAGAGGTCATAGATCAATAATACAAAAATTAATCATATGAAAATGCAATCATTATTAGGGCATCACAAAGAAATGCAACAAAAATTTATGAATAAAAACAAGTATTATTTTTTTTCTCTAGCGCATTATACTTTGTGAACTTTGTTTAACTTATGTGATGTTACAGAAAACTTTTCTACAAAACACTGCTTAAAACTTTATTTACCTAATAAACAAGACATCTTTAAATAAAGAAATGACTTTAAATAAAGTAAATTGTGCTTTTAAAAATAAATTTTTAAAAGCACAAGTCATTTTGTCACAAGCCATTGAAGCTGATACTGCTTTATTGATTTTAAAACATCTTGTATTTTTAAAAGTTTAATTTGTTTTTAAAGTTAATATAATTAAAAATTTAAAATAATTCTGATTTTAAAGTATTTGGATTAGAGTGATTAAACTATAAAAACTAAGTAATAAAATAATATATAAAAAATAATATATATAAATGTAAAAATGTACTTTTGCATGACTTCAAACTTCCAAAATGCAAGATATTTAAATTAACACTAACCTATGCTACAATTCTAATCTTGGGAAAAGTCAATTCTAATCTTGGGAAAAGTGTCAATGATGATACTCGAATTTATACGCCAAAATCAACACTAATCTATACGTCAAAATCAACACTAATTTAAACGTCAAAAATAACACTAATCTATACGTCAAAATCAACACTAATTAAAACGTCAAAATCAACACTAATCTAGGGAAAAAGTGTCATTGATGATACTCGCATTTATACGTCAAAATCAACACTAATTTATACGTCATAAACAACACTAATCTATAGGTCAAAATCAATACTAATTTAGGGGAAAAGTCTCAATGATGATACATTCAATTTGAAAGCTTCAAAAATTAATAACCTGAAAATCTAAAATTAAAATTTTTATGATTTATTTGCTGCATCACATTGAGTTTTTTTTGAATTTTTAGTTTTTCATTTTTATGAGTTAAAAAATTTAATTGGAATGTCATTATCGGCAACCAACTGCTTTTATGATAACATTCTTTAAATAAAATAAGCAAACAAAAAATATTTTTGCTTGTCATCAACAATAACACAGAAAATTATTTATAGAAATCTATAAACATATAAACTTCCTCTTTTTTTTTTATTCATGCCTGGGTATAAGCAATGACATCGAGAGTGGCAATTTTAACAGTTCTTTTGTATAAGATTGTAAATTTTTTACAAAATAAACGCTGAATCAGATGCAAAATTAATTTCAGTTATTTTCCTCACTGCATTATATTTTTCTTTTAGTTTTTGTAAAAAAAAAAAAAAAATTGAACTTTACTTTTTCTTTTTTCTTCTTACTTTTTTCTATTGCTCTTTTCCTTTTTCTATTGATTTGTCTTTTTATTTCTGTATATTTTAATTTCTGTATATTTTAATAATAGTATTCAGATGTCTATTTTTCCGCGTTTTTGTTTTGTTTTCAATTTTTCGCAAACATCTTTTGATCATGTTGTGGAGATTCTTTTTCTTTATAAGATAATGTAAAATTTTAATAAAAATATTTGTTTTATATAAGTACTTAATTTTTCGATTGTAAATTAATCGAAATCATCGTAAACTCTTCGAAGAAAATTTACTATAAACGTGAACTTAAAACGTACCCTTGAATAACTTTTTATTTAAAATCATTTAAATAAAAATTAAACTGCCTCAATAATATCTTTTTACTTTGCTTACCAGCTCATTCGTCACATATTCTGCAGTCATGTATTCTATAGATGCTGGTGTTTATTCCCATGTTAAAAGAGTTTAAGGCAAGTTACTTCAACAGTCTTATGCATTGACAAAGTTCAGCAATTTATCAAAAGGTTCCTTTGATAGATTTCCTTTGAAAGATTTGGCAACTGCAAGCAAAACTTTCCGACTCTTGGGAAGTTTTTAGACGTCTAAAATAAATTATTTCAAAATACCGGTTTATTTCCAATCAACATCAATAAATTTGATCAATCAATAATACGTATTGCAAATAGGTTTGCTTTAATAATTCATTTTAAAAAAATGAAAAAATGAAAAAAATTAAAATAATAACCTCAAAAATAAAAAAAAAATAAAAAAAATAAAGCAGACTCAGGTAAAAAAGTTCTATAGAATTTCTATAAACTTTTAAAACATATGGCCTTTAGAAATTCTATAGAAATTCTATAGAACTCTATAAAATTTTTATAGAATCTCTGTTAGTTTCTGTAGAAATTCCTTTTTTTCCTACTTTTTTTCCTACTTTTTCTATAGAAAAAATATATAAATATATAAAAATATATAAATTTATATAGGGGATACTATTTAAAAAAAAAGCATTAACTCTTTAAGTTAAAATATTAATTAAAAACTTAGTTAAAATTTGCGAACTGAAACATTCCATATAAATAGAATATATATTTATATTATTACCAGTAAAAAATATTAATATATACTTATATATAGAAGCCAATTGATGCATCAGTCAAAAATCAAAGAAAAGTTTTGTGATCTAATCAAGGCCACACTAGGTTGAAAATAATAAAATTTTAAAATACTTGGATAAAAAATTTATCAGTATCACCCAGATAACCATAGAAAAAGATTCGCATTGTATCGATAATCAGTAACATCTGCTTCAATTTGGCTTTAAATTTGTGAAGAGCTCCAAGCGTTTTAGTATATAAGCTAGAGCTTTGTTCTATACAGTTCCTTTTAGCTTTCTTGCATTTTTAAGTATTTGAAACCTTTATCTTTATAGCTTAAAAGATTATTAGAATTTTTTGGATTAGCATTTTTGTTTCGTGGATCAACTACTTCATTTGAAACACTATTATCTCAACCTGGGTCTTCGCTCAACCAGCAGAATTGCTAGCAACTAAAACTATACCATTTCAACTAAAGCCTTCTGAAGCTACACCAACAACATCGGAGCTAAGCCATACGTTGCATAATATCAGTTTCAAAGTTAACTAACTTGCAACTAATCTTTAGTATAGTAAATTAGTATTAGTAGCAACTCCAATTCAAAAGAAAATCCAAAAAGAAATTAAAATTGCATTCAGCTCAAACGCTTGTCGCGAGATTGCAACAAACTTTTGCATCTAACACGTTGATACAGAAAAGCGAAAAAATTCAGACGCGCCAAGATTCGAAGGGGAGTATTTCAACAAACATAAATACTTTAGAAAGATGCTAAAAGAAAGATGAAAGATGCTAAGGCTGAAAATTGCTAAAAGAAAAGCAACCTAGGAAACAACCCTTAACTTATAGTTTCTTAGCTTGCTTTACTTGCGATGAGCAGCAAATAAATCAAGCAACAACAACGACAACACCAAATAAAGTCAAGTGTAAAAAGTGTCGTTAAGTTTTGGGCGAAGCTTCAACAAGTCATAATAGCTCAAAAATTTATAATGCAAGATATGACTTTGTCAAAAATGCATACCAAAGCGATATGTAAAAAGTGCTAAGTTTTACTCTCCAAAAAGCGGCGTGCAAGTTAAGCGGTGCACAAGTTATAACCTGAACTTATAAACAACTCAACTTCATTTCAAAAAATAAACTTTAATTAATTGTTGGTTTTTTAATTGTTTATTTTGCCTTTTTTTAATTTTTAACCTATTGACTTAAATATTTTATGCTCCCGAAATGTAAGTTTTTTTTTTCATTTAAATAAAGTTTCTTAAAAAAATAAAAACAAAACTTACTTTGCAGTTGGCGTTGAACTCTTTAGACCAATGCTTTGGTAAACAACAAGTGATGTTGACATAGAACTCTTTAGGCTTGAATTATAAAAGTGGTTGAGATGGCGTTGGAGTGCTTTTTCGCCGTCGTGTTTTTTATTGCACAAGCTGCTGTTCAGCAATTGGAACAAATAATAATCTGTTTGCGCAAATTGGGGTGGTTAGAGCAAGTGAGACAACACTTCCTAGTCAAGCTCTAATAACTTTTAATGCGTCAACTTTGGAATTTGAGAACAGGCAAGAAATAAACTTTGTTGTGTCCCAGGCGTTTTTTTAAAGAGTTTTGCTAAAAGATTGTTGAATTAATCACTGTAAGTTGCTGCCGTAATTGTGACAGAAGCAATTCAAAGAAGACGTAAACAATGCCGCGCACGTCCCACCAAACCAAAGGCAACATCTTTTTGTAGTGTCAATTTTAGGAGTTGGTTTTATAAGTTGTTTTTGCATGAACCACCTGAGTACCCATTTCTCATCTCCTGTGATGACATGGTCAAGTTTGTTAAACGTGCAATGTAAAGATGAGGGGCTCATGAAGGTGTCCGCTTGCTTGCCTAAAAATTGATCAGCGTTCAGTTCACACCAAGCTTTGAAGTATTTCTAATTTGTGTAAGTTGTATTCTATAGTACTAAGTTCACTTAAAACACGTACTAAGTTCACTTACAGCACGTACTAAGTTCGCCTACTAAACACTTAGGTAATCATGGATCGCTTTTAATTAGCTACTTTAAACGCTCCAAATCCAATTCTATTAGTTTGGCAATTTGTTATTAGTTCTTAAAATTACAGGTCACTAATCTTGTAATAATCTGTTAATTGAATGTTTATTGTATTTATTTAGTTGTAAATTGTGTGGTAATTAGTTTTCAGTTATGTTGCAATAGTTCAATCATCTAATATTGAAAAAATAACCACGGTATTGAAAAATGAAAACCATTGTTTTTAAGACAAATATTTCTTTTTGAAATTTTTATATATATTTTTAGCTCATTTTTTAATTTATTAAAAGGATTTTTGTAAAAAAATTTTCTTTTGTGATTTGGTTTTAAAAAGCTTATATATTTATTTTTTCATGGTGGAGATTTGTCCTCAACCCCTCCCCCTGGCTTAACGTCGAGCAAACAAATGAAGTTATATTTAAATAAATTAACTGATTTAAGAAATGTTTCTAAGATTATTTTAATTCAATTTTTCATTCAATTTTTTTAATAAAAAACGACTTTCGTAATCAAAAAAAAAAAAGCTTTTGTAGAAAAAGGGTTTTACAAAGGAAATCTATATATGTTTATATATATAAAATTTCAATAACAAATAAACTCTTCCAAAACTTGTTTGTAGCACATTTAAGTTGTTATTATTTTTTGTTCACATTTAAGTTGTTATTATTTTTTGTTAAAAGATTAGGAGTGTTATTACAATATTTTCTGCTTTATTAGTTGTTAAAAAAAACAAAAACTTAAATGACTAATACATAATAATAATAATAATAATAATAATAACAAAAATAATAAATAAACTTTTTAATATAATTAGATGTTTTTCCAAGATAGTGTTTTTTTATTCAACCAAAGAAAGAAATTGAAAGCCTTTTATTGTTTTTTTTTTGTTGTTGTTGTTGTTGTTTTGAATTAGTTTTTTTTTTCTTTTTTTTTTTTTTTTTTTTTTTTTTAACGCACAGTTAATGTTAAATATTATTAGTAATGGATTTAAAAAATTTATAAAAATAATAAAAAGTTATAATAATATTTATACTTTGTTATAATAATTAAGATTCTTGGAATGGGTAGAGAAAAACGACAAAAAGACAAAAAAAAAATTCAATCTGTTG